AGATTGAAAAGATTACCCAAATTGGAAACATATTAATAATCGAAGGAAGACTGTATTGCGTCACAGTAGTGAGTAATGAGTAGTCATCAACTACTTTATAAAAGCTGAGTTTATAGAATATTTGGGGTGGGTTAAGGAATATTTATACTCCAATTTTTTCATCAATAATATCAATAAATATATAATGCCGTTTGGAGCCATATATGATCATTATTTGTTGTCATAAATGTTCGTGGTAAGCTTGAATTAATGAAATCGGTGCAAATTATAAACCGGTATATTGTTCGTTTAAAGGCAAATGGGAACCAACTCAATTAGACTCCCGGAGGGTATTAGGGACCATGGTAAACATTTCGACAATTTTAATTTTCGGGCGGAAAAAAAATCAAAAATTTTCAAAATTAAAGACTAATATTCACGCTTTATGAGAAATTTTGGAGGTTTCGGGGCTTAGTGTCGAAAAGTATTGAAATTATAGGGGATATATCACGGGGTCATATGCTGTTTGGAACCATATATGATCATTATTTGTTCTCATAAATGTTCGTGGTAGGCTAGAATTAATGAAATCGGTGCAAGTTGTAAACCAATAAATTGGTCGTTTAAAGGCAAATTGGATTGTTCCACACTTCCACCCACCCAATGGGACTCCCAGACGGTATTAGGGATCATGGTAAACATTTTCGGCAATTTTTATTTCCGGGCGAAAAAAAAGTCAAAAATTTCAAAATTGAAGGCTAATATCCACGCTTTTTGAGAAAATTTGGAGGATTCAGGGTCTGGTGTCGCAAAGTCTTGAAATTCTAGGGGATAGATCTCGGGGTCATTTAATACCGTTTGAAACCATATATGGTCATTATTTGTTGTCATAAATGTTCGTGGTAAGCTTGAGTTAATGAAATCGGTGCAAGTTATAAACCGGTAAATATGGCGTTTTAAGGCAAATTGGATGGTTCTACCCACCCAATTGGACTTCCGAATGGTATTAGGGACCATGGTAAACATTTTGGCAATTATTATTTCCGGGCGAAAAAAAAGTAAAAATTCCAAAAATAAAGGCTAACACGCTTTTTGAGAAATTTTGGAGGTTTCGGGGCCCGGTATCGAAAAGCCTTGAGATTCTAAAAAATACATCTCGGGGTCGTATAATGTCTTTTGGAACCATATATGATCATAATTTGTTTTCATAAATGTTCATGGTAGGCTTGAGTTAAGAAATAGGCGCAAGTTGTAAACCGTAAATTGGCCGTTTAAAAGCAAATTGGATGGTTTCATCCATCCAATTGGACTCCCGGAGGGTATTAGGGATCATGGTATACCTTTTGGCAATTTTATTCATGGGAGAAAAAAAGTAAAAAAATTCCAAAATTGAAGGCTAATATCCATGTTTTTTGAGAAATTTGGAGGTTTTGGGACCTGGTGTCGAAAATACTTGAGATTTTAGGGAATATATCTCGGGGTCATATAATGTCGTTTGGAACCAATTATGATCATTATTTGTTGTCATACATGTTCGTGGTAAGCTTGAGTTAATGAAATCGGTGCAAATTGTAAACCGGTAAATTGGCCGTTTAGAGGCAAATTGGATGGATACACCCACCCATTTGGACTACCGGAGGGTATTAGGGACTATGGTAAACATTTCAGCAATTTATATTTTTGGGCGAAAAAAAGTTAAAAAATTCCAAAATTGAAAGCTAATATCCACGTGTTTTGAGAAATTTTTTTAGATTTCGGGGCCCGGTGTCGAAAATGTTTGAGATTTTAGGAGATACATCTCGAGGTCATATAATACTGTTTTAAACCATAAATGATCATTATATGTTGTCATAGGCTTGAGTTAATGAAATCGGTGCAAGTTGTAAACCGATAAATTCGTCATTTAAAGGCAAATTGGATGGTTCCACCCACCTAATTAGACTCTCGGAGTGTATTAGAACCATGGTAAACATTACGACAATTTTTATTTCCGGGCGAAAAAAAGTCAAAAAAATCCAAAATTGGAGGCTAATATCCACGTTTTTTGAGAAATTTTGGAGCTTTCGGGGCCCGGTGTCGAAAAGTCTTCAAATTATAGGGGATATATCGCGGGGTTATATAATGCCGTTTGGAACCATATATGATTTTTATGTGTTGTCATAAATGTTCGTGGTAGGCTTGCATTAATGAAATCGGTGCAAGTTGTAAATCGGTAAATTGGTCGTTTAAAGGAAAATTGGTTAATTCCACACACCTAATTGGACTCCTGGAGGGTATTAGGGACCACGGTTGACATTTCAGTAATTTTTTATTTCGGGCAAAAAAAAGTCAAAAAATTCCAAAATTGAAGGCTAATATCCACGTTTTTAAGAAATTTTGGAGGTTTCAGGGCCCGGTGTAGTAAAGTATTAATATTTTGGGGGATACATCTCGGAGTCATATAATGCCGTTTCGAACCATATATGATCATTATATGTTGTCATAAATGTTCGTGGTAGGCTTAAATTAATGAAATCGGTGCAAGTTGTAAATCGGTAAATTGGTCGTTTAAAGGCAAATTGGATTGTTTTACCCACCCAATTGGACTCCCAAAGGGTATTAGGGACCATGGTAAACATTTCTCCAATTTTTATTTCCGGGCGAAAAAAAAGTTAAAAAATTCCAAAATTGAAGGCTAATATCCACTCTTTTTGAGAAATTTTGATGGTTTCGGGAGCCGGTGTTGAAAAGGCTTGATATTTTAGGGAATATATCTCGGAGTCATATAATGCCATTTGGAACCATATATGATCATTATATGTTGTCATAAATGTTCATGGTAAGCTTTAATTAATGAAATTGTTGCAAGTTGTAAATCGGTAAATTGTCCGTTTAAAGGCAAATTGGATGGTTCTACCAGCCAATTGGATTCCCAGAGGATATAAAAGACCATGATAAACATTTCGGAAATTTTTATTTCCGTTCGAAAAAATTAAAAAATTCCAAAATTGAAGGCTAATATCCATGCTTTTTTAGAAATTTCGAAGGTTTCGAGGTCCAGTGTCGAATAGAAATGAGATCTTAGGGGATACATCTCGGGGTCATATAATGTCATTTGGAATCATAAATGATCATCATATGTTGTCATAAATGTTCGTGGTAGGCTTGAGTTAATGAAATCGGTGCAAGTTGTAAACCGATAAATTGGCTTAAAGGCAAATTGGATTGTTCAACCCACCCAATTGGACTCTCGGAGGGTATTAGAACCATGGTAAACATTACGATAATTTTTCTTTTCGGGCGAAAAAAAAGTCAAAAAATTCCAAAATTGAAGGCTTAATATCTACGCTTTTTGAGAAATTTTGGAGGTTTCGGGACCCGGTGTCGAAAAGTCTTGAAATTATAGGAGATATATTGCGGGGTCATATAATATTGTTTGGAACCATATATGATAATTATATGTTGTCATAAATGTTTGTGATAGGCTTGAATTAACGAAATCGGTGCAAGTTGTAAATCGATAAATTGGTCGTTTAAAGGAAAATTGGTTGGTTCCACACACCCAATTGGACTCCCGGAGGATATTTTGTACCATGGTAAACATTTTGGCAATTTTTATATCTGGCGAAAAAAGTCATAAATTTCGAATGTTTCGAGGCCCTGTGTCGAAAAGCATTGAGATTTTAGGGGATACATCTCGGGGTCATATTATGCCATTTGGATCCATATATGATCATTATATGATGTCATAAATGTTCTTGGTAAGCTTGACTGCTTGAGTTAATGAAATTGGTGCAAGTTGTAAACCGGTAAATTGGTCGTTTAAAGGCAAATTGGGTGGTTTTTCCCAGCCAATTGGACTCCCTGAGGGTATTAGAGACCATATTAAACATTTCGGCAATTTTTATTTCCAGTTGAAAAAAAGTCAAAAAATTCCAAAATTGAAGGCTAATATCCACTTTTTTGGGAAATTTTGGAGGTTTCGGCCACATGTTAATGGATTAGCCGGGTTTTTTTAAATTTTATTTTTATGTTATAGAGCAACTCCAATGGTTGCTTTTAGGGACTAGCTTGCAATTTTAATAATTTTCAAGCTAATAGCCAAACCATCGGAGGATACTTTGATAATTAGTTTGGCCAAGCTAATGCCAATCAAATTAGCTTAACTAAGCTAATTAGCTTAGAAATTAACTGTCTCTAATAAAATACTAATTATTTAAAAAATAAAGCTGAAAAAACTAAATGATAATTAGCCTAACCATTGTGGTATGAATTAGCTAGAAGAAAGAATAGCTTTGCAATCCTAAGTGGCATGGCAAGTTAATTTGGCAATTAGCTTGCCCTTGGAGTTGCTCTTATTTACAAAGTATGAATTTATAATATATTAATGGGCATAACTGTATATTGGCATGTGTGCGGAAAAGGTGATATGATGCACTTAAAAATGATGAGAGTTGTGTGGTTGTGTGTTGTTTTAACCGATTAAAATAGCTTTTCGTGCATTGCACGGGACCTAAACTAGTAATACTACTACTAAAACATACACCAATTTTTTTTTTCCCCTCTTCAACATGCTCTTTTTTTTTTTAGTTACACTATCTCATTAACTCATTCCTTACCTAAAATATTTCATTATACTTTTGATTTATAATACAATTTCGTGTTTTTTAAAATTTGGTGTTAAAAAAAAATAAAAATAAAAATAAAATAATATACTACATGTTCAAAACTTGCGATTGTTCAATTTTTTTTGCTAAATGTTCAAAAGTATATGCGTGGTGCACCTAGCACCAGGATACACCTTAAAATTTGCGTTCAGTTAGAAAAGGGTATTTGTTTTACTACCTCCGGTAATTATTATGTGCAACAAAGGAATATTTTATGTCTCACAAATAATACCCCTTTGTTGCACATAATAGTTAACGGAGGTAGTATTAAAAACCCGATTGTTACAATTATGATAAAAAGTAGACACTATAGCAACATATTACACAAATTAAGTCAAAACGTTTCATCTATTGTGAAACAATGATAAAAAGTACTTATTATTCATTCTTCAAAGGAAATGCTTTGAAATTATATAAACTTGGAGACCAATTTTTTTTTTAATTACAAATTTGCCTTTTAATATCTGTGCCATTACAAACGTGCAAACTTGGTAGATTCGTATTTTAATATCTGAAAAAAAAAAATATACTGTATATGAAATGGAAGAAGTACTGTATGTTCGAGACTGAAAGAGTTAAGCCGGATTCTTCTTATCTAGCAATGGATCAGAGACTATCTGAGGCTGAAAATCTGGCTTTATATAACGAGCGAGCATCTCAGCATAAAGCTCATACCTTGCAGTCATTCTGAATCCCCACTTATCTTTGATCTGCCTACAGAGGTTTAAATCCATATCTGCAACCATCAAACCATCTCTGTAACGAGAGAGGAATGGACTGCAAGAAGCATCTGGAGCAGAAAAATGACTAGAACCATAGAAATGACCGAAATCCTTGTGCTGTGGCTTTCCATCTCCAGAGGTGAATGCATTCGGAAAGGTCTCAGTTCCAACACGATTTATTGAGCCAACAAAATAATTATTTGCTATTGCAGCATTACGTGCCTGTACAAAAATTCATCATAAACCATAATAAATCACACAAAGTGGAATATGTTACTGAATTGAAGTTGCCAGATCCCATAAATAGTCTCTCAAAACTGTTTTAGGATGTGAAGGAATTGCTGTCAATTTTGTAAATGCAGCTTTCAATCTGAGGGGTGGCACACTGGCTAGGTTAATCCTAAGCGATACTAATACTACAAGAATTTACCACCAAAACCATCCAAAACAAATCAACAAATCAAGTAACTCATCCAATGTACCAATTATAAAAGGATTAGACTGTTTGTTGATGAACTGAAACCACATAAAAGTGTCTCCCTCGGTTGCTAGGAGGTGTGATGCATGTACATATATATTATTGTCGGAGAACCCTAAATGTATACAGGTCAGCAACCTTGTTCAAAATGAGACGATACTTTTAAACTAGTTACTATGGAATTGTTGAAAAAAAGAAGTAAGATAGGGATGATACTATATAGATACCTCAATTGGCCACATAGGTTCACTGAGCTCACCAACAGTAGCAGACGGGTTAAATACTATCTCTGCTCCATTCAAGCCAAAAGCCATCCAATTTAAAGGATGATGCCTACCATAACATATGTTAATGGCAATTTTGCCAAATGCTGTCTCAAAAACAGGGTGTCCAGTGTTTCCTTCCATATAATACGTGCTCTCATTGAAGTCCCCAACCCTAGGAATATGGTTCTGCCAAACACAAACATGATTATGACCATGCTGAGAGAATTTCATAACGAAAATTGATCAGACCATACTGAATTACCTTTCTACGAACGCCTATAATGTTACCCTGATTTCCAATTATAACAGCGGTGTTCCATATAGTCTCTCCATGTACAACATCCCTCTCTAGAATGGGACTTACAATGACCATGTTGTACTTCCTAGCAAGATCTTGCAAAAATTGTGTCGACTCCCCATTGACAGGCTCTGCAAATTCACACCAACTTTTCTCTCGAGTACAAAAGGCAAATGGCATAGTCCATGCTTCCTGTACAGCATGCATGAGTTACTTAGAATGTATTTTACTTTAAAATCCACAATAGTAATTTTGAAGCTCTTACATCTTGTTTCGTATAAGATAATTTGTTTTATGATTACATCAAAATTTGTTTTCAATCATACTATCAACTGAACTACTGAAGTTGGTATGAGTCACCATTGCATAATTCATCAACACTTGTTCACATGAAGCATTCCATGTAAGCTTGCAAACATACTTTATTATCAATCTATTAGCATACAAAAACTTCATACCAACTGAGCAATTTAAGTACGAAGTATTTGTTACCTGAAGGCATAATATGTTGACTCCCGAAGCACCTGCAGCCTCAATGATGAGCTTCAATTTCTGAAAGATGGCCCTTCTTTGGTCTAAAAATGGTTCTGTTGTGGGCAGGGCGATAGAATTCTGAATAAGACCCACTCGTACAATTCGAGGCTCTCTTAGAGATTCCTTTTGAGCTTGAAAGCAGTATGCCTGTAAAATTAAGTGAGCATTGAAAAAAAATTCTTACTTCTAAAACACAGAGTTAGCACATCTAGTTGTAATTCAATTTAAGCTTCAGTAAATTATACAACTATACAGGCCACGAGGGCTCTGCAGGCTGAAATGCGAAAGAGGATGACAAATTGACAAGGGGAATACACAGACACCAGGAGGAACAGAAACCACAAATGGATAGTAAAGGTCTTTCAGACAAAGAGTGCCATCATCGCCACACGTTATGGGAGTGATAAGATGCCTACAAAGGCTCATTTCATAGCTACTCCATCCTGAAATTCGCTTCCTCTTTGACAACTTGTGGTCAAAATTTGATAGTAGTATCCATAAATTTGCTAAAAAATAGCATGATCACATTGATTATACTTTTATAAAAAATGTATTGCCTAAAAAAACACTTCCAAAGACAGCAAAAGATCAAGCATCAAGTTAATTTTGGTACAAAGTTTGTACTTTGATCATAAAACCACTTAAAAGGAGCCTAACATAATATCCTTCACCAATCCAAGACTTTCATCAATTCAACAATGGAGACAAAAGAAGCTAGCCAAGACCCGAACCTGAAGATCGAAATCGTGGTCATTGGACAAATTGGTAGCTGCAGCTGGAAGTGTTACAGGATCAAGTGATTTTCCAGAGTTCAACCCATAAATCAACCTGTACTTCCTGTCCATTTAACCCATCACAATTGCACAAATTAAATCAAGATATATACATATTATACTGCAGCAAATTACAACTATAGAATAAACATCGATTTTCATTAGTAATCCATATTACTACTCATCATAATTCATAATATATGTTGCTCCCCGATATACAAACCCTTGTCAATATCAATCATCAAATAAAAAGTTGTAACCTTTTAAGTATTTTGTTCAACTTTGTTTTATGTCACCTCTACCTCCGTTTCATAAAGTTCTCTACACGGGTCATCCTTATTAAAATAACAAAACCGTATGTCTTTTAGACCGTCTGATACAAGAATTTGCGGGTTTCAAAATAATAGCTTAAGTAAAAATGAGAACAAGAAATTGAAAAAGAAACCTGGAAGATGGGAGCAGGAAGAGAGGAACTAAGGAGGTGATGAAGGGATTCAAACCCAGAAATTGAACCATTTGGAGTAGAAATAACCCCCTTTGTTGGGTTTTCTTGTTGATCATTTTCTCTATCTCCATTTTCAATTATGCTTTTATCTTCCATTTTATCTCTCTCTTCTAGGTTGGTAATATGATTGGAATCAGGATTAGATGAGATGATGAATTGATGATTGATCAAACTTTTCGAGTTGGGAAAACTTTCTCTTTTGTAGTCACTTTTATTTTTATTTTATTTATTTTATATATTTATTTATTTGTACTTATTGAATCATCATTTATTATCAATAAGAATCTTTTGGTGGTTATTGAAATAAATAACTGGATTATTAGTATGCTCAAACAATGGGGTTTGAGCCGTTTGACTCATTTAAGTCCAGTTTATTTTTCTTTTTAATTTTTTAAAAGAAAAACATAAAATATTATTATTTGAAAGCCACACGGCATCTATAATAAGCATTATAGAAAAGTAAAATACAAAATTAATCAAGCAAAAATCACGATGAAGCATAGTCCTTGATTATTTGCTGAAATATATAGCTTTCTGTGAGGAAGTCCATCTTAATTTACATGTCGGTAACTTTGTAATATAAGTACGAAGTATAAAGTACGAGTATATTAACAAAGCAAATACAAGTACTGATTTTAGTATTTTGATTGTATTGTTTTAGGGTATATTATATGCACAACTTATAAATTGAACTTATTCCAACTTATCAGACTTCAATCACCTTATTAGAATTCTTTTTAGTTTTAAATTGATTACAACAACTTATTTGGAAACAGATTAGGGCTTGAGAGTTTTGTTAATCTACTCCTCTATCAATATCCAAATTCTTTTGTTGATAACTCATACAACTTTACAAATGGGGATCAATTTCAATAACTTTAAATTGGACAAGTCTCTATAACAAAAATAAAAATTAGTAGTAGTATAAATAAGTTTGCTTCCACATAAAAGCAAATGAGTTGATTATCACACATTTGATGCCAAATTGCCAAGTTAGCCAACTCTTCACTACTCTTTTAATGATAATGTCAACCCTCTTAATGCTATGTGAACTCTCCAAATTAACAATAGTAAAATGGTAGAGCATAAAATCGAAAGCACAATCTCAAACAGGAACTTTGATGAGTTCTGAAAATCACATCCCTAGGATGCAGAACAGCCTGCTAAAACATCGATTGCAGCCGCTACAGTAAAGTAATATGTTCAGAAAGAGAAAGAAGAGAAATATCATTCTAATTCATCTAAGTTTAGATCAACGAGGAGGAAAACAATCATAACACGATTTATCAAAGGGAAAGCCTAATCATGAGACTAGATTATTTTATGAGGGAAAGGTAATCTGCGACAGGGCATATCACTTGCGTTTTTTCCTTAATTTCGCAGATTTTTGGGTTCGCAGCTTCACTCTAGGTGTCGAGGCTGCTTGCATAGCTTCAGAGTCTTGAGGCGTGCATAGCAGAAACTTCTTGTTTGAACCTATCTGCTGGCAAACCTGCTTCAGCATCCTCTTGCCTCTCATCCATTTCAGTAGTATCTTCATGTGTGTTTTGCTAGCGATTCCACTGATACCAGCTTCCTACAGTAGCAAATTTTACCATTAGAAAAACGGAGCCTACACAGAGCACACTTACTACCTAGCTATTCATGATACCACTACTACAATGGAGTAACCCTGTTTAAAAAGCAAGACATTTAGAGTGGAGCATAGGAAGAAGCATTGCAACGAAGTATAATCTAACAAGTATCCACCTATTCTTTTTCATCCTGTTAATTTAGGAATGGGAGCCAGACAGCCTATATATATATATATATATATATATATATATATCATGAACTATCTTGCTTTACTTTGTCTCTACTTCCAGGATTTTGGACATAGAAATGATAATAAGAAGTAAGTCAAATGCCATGCAATTCAGCCTATAATCAGTCAAGCTTTAAGGCATCTTTCTTCTTACAACAAATAAAGCAAAATGGTTCTTGGTATAGTTCGTTTCCAATAAAAAAAAATCTTGAGGGGGTTTAAAGAATTAAAGGTATGGACTATGGAGATCTCTGCATTGTAGTCTAGTACGTTCTTCCCAATTACTTCATGTTTAGACTAAAAATACAGGAAACAATTTTGTGATCACTATATAATCCAAATGCCGACCCCACTTATGGGATTAAGGCTTTGATTGATTGATATATAATCCAAAAGTTTTCGTAGTTATAATTTCTGTATACAGTTTAGGACAAAATGTGACATTATCTACTAGGTGACCATGAGACTATATTAAGCTTTAAGTACATGGACCTTATGTTACAAATTTCAAGCTATAATTCCCATGGCCTTTTGGGATTCCAAGGCATGGTAGAACTTTCTCTGGTTCGCTGTCGTAACCTTTGTCCAAGGCATGCTAGGCTTGGCGAAAGCATGCATGCTTATAATTGGATTTGAAGCTAAATTATGTTGTTTCCAGCTCTATAATTTTGCTCAATTTTTTTAATACTGATATTTGCTCACTTGTTCGTGAATTCCATTTGTTCCTCTATGCTTCTTCTTTGTTCATTTCTGTCTCTCCCATTTCCTCTTGCTCCCTCCCCATATTTGCAATGATATTTTTTTCTCTCTGTTGGATCAATGTCATTTGTCAAATACATGATGAGGATTGATATGAAATGTAGGGGTAAAAACTTAAAGCAGTTGTGTATATATTCCTGAAAGGGCTTGTGTCTCATGCTTTTTAAGTTATAAGCTTATAACTGTAGGCACCAGAAGGCTATGAATGATGGATCTGATTAGTGCTTATGCTATTATATATATATATATATATATATATATATATATATATAAATGCTCTATTTCCTCTAGTAGATGAAATATTAAGGAGTATATTACAGTCAATTTTCTTTTCCTTAAAACTATGACATGATAACATTGAAAGGAAAATGAGACGATCTTGGAAGAGCTTCACATGAAACAGTTTATTCCAAGGGTTTTTTTAGGCTAAGAGGGAATCTGAATTATGATTTCCAAAGACGGTACATTTATAGTAAAGTGCTACCCTCATGACAACTTCATATGGAAGTATTGGTAAATACACATATGCATTCTCTATGTATGTCACTCACCACGAAGCATAATAGCTAAAGCCAAGGAACACCATACCTATTTTATGTAGGAAAGGGGAGAACTACAATTCATTGAATTTGTTACAAGAACAGGTAGACCAAGGTCTTAGATGCACATTGGTTCATAAATATTATTGATATTATTGATAGATTTGACAGGGCAACGCCAATAAAATTAAAAGTCACACCTTTTGAAGTTTTGATTTATATCATATTGACAAATCAGTGAGCCCCCAGTAACCAAAGGACATTAGATAAGACACTCAATCGCTGCCACAACCCACATCAAATATTCCTCGTGGATGTGCCATCTTAAATGTCATGTTATAATCTAACAATCTAGAGTAGCCCATTTAAACTACTTGGGAAGCTTTTAATCACAATTAGATTCCCAAATCCTAACCCAATAACATTCAACTTCCTAAAATCCTAACCCCCCATGTAAACTATTTTAGCCACCTTTTACCAAGTATCATCCCATGTAATGTATAAATTCAAACTCGAGACACTTGAATTCTTGATCCACACTCAAACTCACACCCAAATCAAACCCTTAAACCCTCGTTCTAAATGACAGAACAATTGGACAATCATTGCATGATTACAAATTAACGGCATTATAATTTATAAACAAAGTATAGTTCAGTACAATCCAACATTTCAATTCATACCAAGATTATCCAAAAATTATAGCTTCAAACACCCACAAAAATTCACAAGTGCAGCACACATTAAACAACTAACTAAACACAAATCTGAACACAATTCATCAAATTTATCAAACAAACTAGCAAATAACATCAATACATATTAAAAAAAGGGAATTTGGAGCGCGATAAAAAGAAGATGAACCTGTGCGTTAGTCCAAGCACTGCCAATGGTGACAGGGCCACGATTCTGGATCAAATTGAAGAGATTTTGAGCAATGGAGGTAGCTTCAGAGTAGGGAACTTTAGGGTTTATCTTCCTCAGATTTTCAGCTCGTTTCTTCGACATATATCTCACACATTGCATCATCATTGAGCTACCTCCCCCAATTTCTCCTCCTCCATTGCTGCTGCTCCAAACCCTCCTCCACATTTCTTCTTCTCTCTCCTTCAATCGAATTCAATTTATGAAAAATTGGGGAAAAATTGATTCATATGATATGCGTCGTCTTGATTTTGAAACTGAAAATTAGGGTTTTTGAGGGTATTAGAATGCGACTTCTTGAGTAGAAGAATATCACTCGGTCCGTATAAGCTGCGCTTAGTTCATTTTTTTGTTTACTTTATTAATTACTTAGTTTTTTTTTTTAATTTTTTGTAACAAACCAAATCACTAATAGTTGACTTGCTTAAACTTTATTCTTATCTACATACATACAAAAAAATTTATTAAATAATTAGATATGGAAAGTGGAGCAAGTAATAAAATACACCCCTAAAATAAAAGTGGCGTAAGTAATAAAATATGAAGAGAGTTCGCAATTACTCGTGCACAAAGTTTACTATAATAGGAAAAGTTTGCATACCACAACCATGAGTTCTGTGATATCAAAAACCCCCACTAGGGATAGTTTAAAGTAAGAACGTGTAAATTTGGGTGTCTTAGTTAGGTTTAATAGCGTTCAATGGGGTTAAGCTTAGGGATGTCAATGAGGCGGGACGGGGCGGATGGTGGTCTTTCCATCCCCATTCCCGCCTAATATTTTCATCCCCATCCTCGCGGCGGGTCCAATATTCATCCCCGTCCCAGCGGGTATAACTCCAAAACCATCCCCGCCTCACCCCCACTTGGATATCCATCCCCACCTAATCCCCACCCAAGATCCACCTAATCTCCGTCTCTAAAATACATAATCCTACATAATTAATACGGATTATAATAGAAATAAAACATTCTTAATAATACACACATTTTTGTTTATAATATAAGTGTCGTACAAATATTATAATTAATATTATATTTTACGTAATTATTTTATAAAATAGTATAAAAGTATGTAATTTTGCTTTTAAAAGATATATAGATGTGGGTATGAGGCGGGGCGGGTACAACTTAAAATCCACCCCCGCCCCATCACCAATGGTGGGTATGATTTTTATCCCCATCCCCATCCCCACCCCACCACCCGCCAAACCGAGACCTATCCCCACTCTAGTGAGGCGGGTTCTACTACTTGGGGTTGAATTATACTAAATTGTTATGCACATACTCCGTATAAATTAAAAATCTAAATCAAGTTCCTATGGAGACAATTTTTTTTTTTGTTTTTGAAAGCACTTTTCAAAACAGAGTGGATCAGGTCGAATTTGGTGAAATTGGACTCATTTACCCTCCCAGTAGTCCCAAATAGGTTCGTGGTTCTCTACACTTCATTTTTTTTTTTTTTTTTTGGGCATTATTTAAGACCACCAACCAATCAACCATACATCAAAATGTGAAGAAAACGAACGGTCCATAATCATTAGATTTCCCACCTTTTTTTCCTGTTGAAAGAATGATGAAGAAACGAATATCCCAAATCAGCCAATATGAACACACATAACTTGAATAAAAACTTACCAAAAATAGAAAGAAAATTAAGAGGAGAGAGAAAATGAAGAAAAATGGCGGTGAAACCTCGCAATCGGCCCCTGCCTCACCTTCCGCGCCACCGCCTCGTACCACGAGCTCGAATTCCGACGCACCTTTGAGGCGCAGAAATGCGCCATTTTTGATCGTTTGTAGATGTTTCAGCCTCATCACCGCAATATCTGCTATTCTTTGTATTGCCGTCAATATTCTTTCTGCTGTTCGATCCTTCAAGCATGGAGCTGATGTATTTAATTATGCTTTTTATTTGTCGATTTTGTAGGTGTAATTGTTGGTTGATTTAGGGTTTTTGATATGATTTCAATTTTATTTAGGTTTTTGATGGGATTTTTCGATGTTATGCGGTTGTGCTAGCGATTTTGGTGGTTTTGGCTGAGACTGAGTGGAGTTTCATCTTCAAATTCTGGAAGGTATGATTTCTGTTTATATTGGATTCTAGTTGGATGAATTTCTTTGTTTTAGTGGATTTTTGATTGCTTTATTGAATTGTTTCAATTATGATCGAGTATTGAGCTCATCTTATTACTCCTTTATGAATTATGATTAAGTTTCCGGGTTTCAGATTAGTGAGTATTGAGCTCAATCCTCAATGTAATACTTGTAAGAATAAGGCTTTTGAGTTGTGGATTGATGAGTATTGAGCTCAATGTAATATTGTAATGCTTGGTAGTATAAGTGCATCAGACACTTGTACGGTTTAATACTTAGGCTTCTGAAAGACATAACCTTATTATGTAATTATTCGAACAATTATGGTTGTATATAATAAAATAATTGACCAAGCTAGGTACAATACAAATGTTGGGTATTTATGTAATTATGTTATGCATTTTTTATGATGCTAGGAGCAAGATGTTATTGTCTTGTTGGAGCTTGGAGGTATATTAGATCGTTATTGTCTTGTTGGAGCTTGGAGGTATATTAGATCGTTATTGTCTTGTTGGAGCTTCAATAGAATTTAATGGAGATATTGCAAGCTAAATTTCTAATACCATAAAATAAATTTAATGGAGGTACTAGCATGCTATTTTATAGCGTACTGTTTGTGCATATTTCTATCATAGATATTGTTCAATAAGTAATACTTAGTACAAAGTACTCTGTAGCATGTAGTATGGAGTGCTGAGTGGCTGCCTTAATTCCATAATTACATTGTCATTTTGTCATGACAAGTGTTCTACTTTCCATTCTCTCTCCTTTCCTTTCCTGCTCTCCAAATATATAAGTATATATGAGTGATTTTGCTGCAGTAGTCGGCATTCAGCCAGTCAGCAGTCAATTTGTATGTTGTGCAATCCACTAGCAAGATAGGTTGTTGTTTCCTTAATTAATTTGTCCTATTCATGTTTTCCATACTTAAATGGCTGTCTTGGTTGTCTACAGTTGTCATATATTTAATCTCGTACTTGCTTTGTGTGTTTGTTTAGACTTGGAAGCTAATTTCTGGTGTTATCATGTTATGCTGCAGGTGTTGGAGTATTGGCCTGGCAGAAGCATGCTACAAATCTTGTATGTATACTAACACCCAAGACTATTGAATTCATCCTCATCAAACTTATAGAAAATTTAGCATTTTGTTTTCATAAAATTAAGATTGACAAGAACTATGAATACAAGACAGCATGAAAGCGATTTATTTGTTAGAGTATAAGCTATGACTAAGTAATCGTAGTAATTCAAGCTTCATTTTCTGGTGTCAGAAAGCCTTTTTAATTTCTGGAAGCTACCACTGTCCATGTCACTTTACTGAAATGCTGATGTAGGCACACTAGAAGTTGTTTTAATGCATCAATTACAGGTAACAATGAATATGAACTTACATCCATGGCCTCATTGATTGTTTTGTGTAGTGTTGCTGTTATGACTAGGGCATTCTCTGACTTTATTGGCAAGCAACATGATATAGTTCTTCTTCAGAGTATAGCAAGCTATCTGCTGCTTTCATGCGCTGCTGTTTATCTTGTATCGGTAAGAGGATGAGCTGAACAGTTTTTTCCCCCCCTCTTTTCATTATGTAAAATTGCTTTGTAAAGTATGTCCATACGTCTGGAGGATATTGTGCTCGTATGTTTTTGTGACATACATGAATAACTTAATGGGTTCAATGGGTTCAATGGGCTCAGTGTTCACAAGATTGTTTATATACTTGAATGAAACAATTATTATCTAAAAGTGTAATCCTCAAGGCAATTAATTTGATATATATGTTGATGAGAGACTTCATTATAGTAATGCTGACAGAATTTAGACTCTTTAGATTTTAAAATTTTACAAATAGTGCATGATGAGAAACTTGAGCTAATCCACTGCTAGATTTATATACACAGGTTTTGTTTATTCAAGGAATGTTCAATGACAATTTATTTCATGTTGCTTCAAATCAACAATATTTCAGGGAATCCTTTGCATAGGTATTTTGAAGCGTTCCCTAGAACAGAAAGAAATTTCAAGGGATCAAGCAGTTAAGGATCTACAGGTATTCAAGTGTCTGCTGTCTAGTTTTTTTTTTTTTTTTAATTCTGATTTATATGGTTAATTGGATTGGTTGCTTCGGATGAAGGTTTTTATTATGATTAACTTAGGTTTTGCTTCTCTATTTTGCTATATTCCATGGCTCCTTGTTTGTGAAAACTGTACTTAATCTGATGTAGCTACTAGATTAAAATAGCTAACCAAAACCAACTACTTCATTAGTCATGCCAATTAATTAAAATCCATCCATTTTTTGTCCTTCATAATGGGAAGTGCATCAATTCCGTGAGTGCATCAATTCCGTGCAAAGTTTGAGAATGGAAAACAAAAATCTAAGGTTGTTCATAGAATTACGACTAGCAGTGAGCACTGAATTGCCTAAGACTTATGCTAGATGGAGAGATGTCTTGCAACACATCGAGTCCCTTGCTCAATAATATCTCCAAGGATGCTTCATTGAGAATAGCAGATGAGAGTTTACAGCTGATGTGCCAGGATTGATGGGCTCTTAAATTTCTACTAGAAGTAAAGTGGTCTCCTTGTTGACTAGTAGTACTCTAGTCATTTTTTCATATCTATCTATCTACTTCCTTTTTCTTGGATTCTGAGATGAGTTTATTTTCTTTCAATTTGATTTTAGTCCCTAGAAAAAATTGTGGAGTGAGAATCTTGACATTGTTAGGTCTGTTAAATTAACTTTTGTCCCGTTGCAGGAGTTGGAGAAGAAGCGGCAGGAACTTGAAGCTTTGTTAATTGAAGAAGAACACGTTTGAAAGAGAATTCATATGTTGGTTTGTCACAGTTCCTTGTGGAATTCTGGATTTTCTCTAGAATATTGAGGAAGACAAGCCTTGTAACTGACAATTTGATCGAAACAATTGTACAGGAAGACAAGTCTTGATGCTTTAGCACTTAGTAAAATCTTTTTTGTTTTTGTTTTTGTTTTTGTTTTTGTGGCTTTATATAGTTGTAATCATTTTTTTCCGTTCTCGAATTTTTTGTGGATAGAGAGTGTAGCTGTGTTTGAAAGAATCTGTAACCAATGTATGTAGTATGGAGTACTTGCTAAAATTGAATAACAACGGTTTTTTTTTTTCCCGCTTGAGTATGCATTTTCGTGCCATACTGATGAATTTTTGGCCAGTTTATCTGTCTATGTTATCTCAGGTTTATTTTGATACGGAGTAATTTCCATCATAGTCAGCCAGGGTGCTATTTGTTTTGGACAACCAAATAAAAGTAGTTACAGCCTTACAGGCCTTTTCTTGCCTTTGTGGCCAAAACAATGAGCTTATGAGCCTCAGCTATTCTATCTCATCTCATCAGACATGACAATTTATGGTGATCTTCATTTGATGAAGGCATGTCTCGTCTTTCCAAAGAAATGGGTGTGTTCATTTAAAACATGCACAGTAGTAATAAACTAATAAACCACTGTGTCTAGCAGTTACATTAGCAAAAAATCCCTTAGACACGAGGGTGGAAGGAGGGCCTCTAAGTTCTAATCACTTGGCCAACCTTAATTTTAGTAGTATGATGATACAAATTAGTAACATAATTTCACTCAAGATTTAACAACTTATCCTATAATATAATGAGCTAAATATGCCTATCGTAACTAGAGAATCAATGAGAGGGGTTCGATCCTCACCTTAAATAAATAAGATCCCTAATTTCCCCCTAAACAGTATTATTGACGTTTTTTCAAAACGGAATATTAAAAAAGTTCCTCACATAGGTCTTCTTCCAAAAAATTTCTTCTTTCTCTTACTACTTTTGTTGTACTTTCCTCATTTGAATAAATAAAAAAAAAAAAAAAAAAAAAAAACTACTTTTTTTTTAAAAAAAAATACAGAGTACAATAAAGAAGTTATAGCCGTACTCAAAATTTAAACCAAACACTCCCGCTCTCTCTCTATCTCTCTCTCCTCAAACTCAAATCTCTCTTTGTTCACCCAGATTCACCACTACGCATTGCTCCTCCCAGGTTCTCTTCCGCTCTCTTGCATTTTTCTGTAATTACGCTCACGAAAAAACCCTAATCTTCTGTAGTATGTCTATGTTTATTGATTTTAGTTTAATTTATTCTTGCATTTTATCTTAGCTTTGTGCTTTATAATTAGTACTCCTTAAATTCTTGTTTTGGATTGTTGTTTATAAATGATTTCTAAAGGTCACAAATTTCTATTATGATGATTAACTCTAGGGTTTTTAATTTGGGGGGTTAATAAAAGGGTAAGGGGTTTTTTGATTTTTTTTTTTCCATAAAAATGTGGGGAAATTCCGAAATTGATGGTGGATTTTTATGAAGATGAATGATGGATGACCTGTTAATGGTGAAATCTTTGAAAGCTTAGTACTTTGTAGTGCACATAATTAAAGAAATATTAGATTAGCCAATTTTTATTTATTTATAATTTTTATTCGAAGTGAATGATTCTACATGTTATACAGTATAATGTTTGACCAATTGAAAAATTTATATGAGGGGTAGAAACACAAGATTTATAGCAATTGTACTGGCACCTAATGCGATAATACTATAGACGGGATTTGATTTGAGGTTCTAAATACGGAGTACTACCCAAAGACTTACCACTACGGCGAATTGTAGTTGTATGTTTCAGTTTTCTTGGAAACCTGCCTATTTGAGCTGAACATTGAGTTTAACAGTTTGTTTCTCTTATCCTACTTTGCATACAAGTTTCAAATGGTTTTAGTTTATACAAGTTTCAAATACTGAGACGAGGCTCATTTACCTCGTGTTGTTAAATCTTTATAATTTCTTCGATTTCTTTCTTCGTTCCTTCTGTGTTTGTGAGCGCATTTCTGCAAGTCACACACAAATGCTCGCACATACATGCTAGCAAAAACAGTTTCTGATTTTTTTGTTGTACTACTACTGCTTCTTTGCCTTGCAAGAGCTTCTTTGCTTGTCTATGAAATCTTGATTCAGTACGCTCTTGTCAAGCAGCAGCTCATTAGTTGTTTTTTAATGACACCCTTCTCTTTTACTTTGCCATACATATAATGTGGTTATTTGTTCATCGACTCAGGTTAATGAAAAATCGTCAACATTAGTATATTACTGAAGCAATAATTGGAGCAGTTCAATTTAATCAAAGCAAAATGGATGGAGTGTACAAGGAATTGGAAGAATCAAAAGCAGAATTAGAGAGGCTGAAGGAAGAATATCGAGTCAAAGCTGAACTTGCTGAGAGTCTAAGGAGAGCTCACTCAGACCAACAAGCGAAAAGTCAAGAAGCTAAGTTGCAGATTGATAAGCAGGCAAAGGAACTGAATGAAAAATCAGAGGAGTTGGCCGAATTGAGACAGCTTTATGGAGAGGTCAAATCCAAATTGATTGAAGTGGAATCATCACTTAAGCAAATCAGTTCTGTGAATGATAAGATTCGGATGGATTCTGGTGAGAAAGTGCAGAAGTTGGAAGGGGAAAACAGAAAATTGGTGTCAGCTTTAGAGGAAGCAACAGGAAGAAGTGATGAATTGGAGAAGAAGCTTTGTGCTTGCAGTAAAGAGAATGAAGGTTTGAAAGCCCTTCTATCAGAATCACAGCGGAAGCTTTCTCAAGCAGAAGAAAAAGCCAAAGCAGGAAGAGAATTGATGCACCGAGAGGAAGTTATATCGAAATTGGAGGAGCAAAGCATGAGTGTCCAAGATCAACTGAAATGGAAGAAAGAGCAGTTCCAACATCTTGAAGAAGCTCACAAGCGGCTTCAAGACCTGTTCCAGTCCAGCAAGAAGGAATGGGCATCTGAAAAATCGAATATGTTGGATGAGATGACAGCATTGCAGTTCAAATTGGATTCTCAAATTAGAATCACCGAAAGCCTTGAAACCCGTCTAAAGATGTGCAATCAAGCTCTGGCACATGAAGAAAGCCGAAGGAAGGCATTGGACGTTCAATTGTCAGAATCAAAACAGCGCTTTGAAAATGTTTTATCAGAGTATGAGGATGTAAAAGAAAAGTTTGAAAGCCTCAGCACAAAACGTGATGAAGATATAGCAGTTTTGAGGAACTCTCTTGGGACAAAAGAGATACTATTGAAGGAGATGGAGTACAGGACTACTCACCTTGAGCAAGAGAACAAGGAGCTCCTTGGATCTTTGAAAGAGCTAAGGGAAGCTCAAATTAACAAGAGAAAAGTGGACCCATCTCTCAATAAGATTCGCAACAAGCTGAAAGAGTTGGAGCTGGTGCACGGCAATTGTTCTTTGGCTTTGAAGGAAAAAGAAGCTGAATGGACATTCAAAATGGAGAAGCTGATCGAAGATACAAAGTGTTATGAATTTGAGTTAAAGAGGCAAGGTGAACAGCTAAAGCAACTGAAGATGCAATTAGATGATTGTCACTCTGCAATGAAGGTTTCAGGTGAAGAAACATCCATTCTGCTCTTGATGATGAAGTCAGAACTTTCTGATGCTTACTCAAAGCTCTTCAAGTCAGAGGATCAGATTAAAGCATTCAACAAAGAAAAAGGAGAAAAGATTGCGGTTTCTGCTCAGCGTTTAGAGATGGGAGATTGCTCTCCTGTGGAAGACCAAGCTCATGGGGCACAGGCGCATCAGGAGATTGCAATGATGGCTGAAAAGCTGGAATCAATAAAGCTATTGGAAGAGCGTAGTAACTTTTTGGAATGCACTCTTGCAGAGCACAAAAAGATGCTTGAAGAGTCATCAAACTGCCAACTGCACTTGAAAGAACAAGTTAGTCAGATGGAGGTTTCTCTCAAAAATCTTTCCACTGCTCTAGAAAAGTCGAATTCTGAATTGGCTGCAAAGATAAGTGAGGCTACACAAACAGAGATGGAACTGCAATTATGGAAATCTAAAGCAGAAAGCTTTAGAACTTGCCTTGAACAAAGCCAGGAGGCCTTTAAGCAAATGGAGAAGTCCCTTCTTGAAAAAGTTGAGACAGAACAATGTCTTAAAAAAGAGAACAGTGCTTTGCAAAGCAAATTGAAAGAAGAAGAGCAGAAAATTATGGATCTCCAGCAAAATATTGATTCTCTTGATCAAAAGTTGATGCAAAAAGAAGCAGCTACAGAGGCAATGAAATTGGAGGTGGTAGAAGCTTACAAGAAAGGCGAGCACTATGTCAAAATCCTAAAAGAAAGAGATGCCATAGTTGAAAACCTTCAAAAAGAGATAGAAGCAGTGGAAGAACAATCCATGAGAAGGGAATCAGAAGCAGCTAAATCTGCCAAGCTAGAAGCAGAGTACAAGTACAAACTTGAAAAGGAAGAGCTGAGTAAGACCATCACAGCAGAAAGGGATGCTGCAGTTAGATACCTTCAAAAAGAGATTGAAGCATTGGAGGAACAATCCGTGAAAAGGGAATCAATAGCAGCTGAATCTGCCAGGCTACAAGCAAAAAACGAGTATGAACTTGAAAAGAAAGAATTGTGTAGGACCATCACAGAAGAAAAGGATGAGCAGTTAAGGTGTATCCAGAGTTTTGCTTCATCTTTACAACAGGATTTCATGGAATTGGTTCTCTATACCTTCTCACAAGGTATAGAAAACGTGGTTAAGATTGTTGCACTTCAAGATGCTTTACAGAAGTCTGAATCCCACGTGAAGACTGAAGTGAAAATGAAGAATGATGCAATTGAAGGACTGAAAAACGAGGTCAGTACTCTGCATGGAAGGATTTTGCTTCAAGAGGATTCTTTACTTCACTCAAAACAATCAGCTAAAGAGCTTGAAGCTCAGTTAGAGTTTAAGAAGCTGGACACCGAGAAATTGTCAAACAAGTTAAAGGAGGAACATGATAAGTGGAAAGAACTCATGGAAGAACTCAAACAAGAGAAAGAGGTTGCTACAACTAGCATCAAAAGGCTGTCTTCTGAACGGGATAACCTGCTCATGTACTCTGAAGAAATCTGTGAGCAAGTTGGCCATTTTTGTTCAGAAGATGTAAAGCTTGAGGGAATGTTGAGAAAATTGTTGCAGACTTCTGATTTGGATGATATTTTGACATCAGTTGATGACCTTGATGTAATATCAAATAGAATTTCTGACTCTGTGCTTATAGAAATGAAGAAGGAAGTCGAAGCAACCCGTGATAGATCACCACTACGTGAGATTAACCATTAGTAGCTTACTAGCTTCTGATACGAAATTTTTAAGTCATTCTTTCAATGCCTTATCTGTATAACAAGTTACTGGATAGTTGTTGTCAGCACTTAATGGTAACAAGAACATGTTTTTCACTTGTATCAATATTTGAACGAGAATTTTACAATTAAATGAATGCATCTGTACTTGTTGCTTAATCAAATTTGCTAGTGGTTAAAACAAGCCACAACATAAACAACTACAAGAGCTCTGGAAAAATAGCAAGGCTTTGTCACAAACGCTCTATCCATTGGAAATCATTGCTCATGTTTTACACATAGTAGCAGACTTTGCAGTATAGTAGAATTGTTTTTTTTCTTCTGGTCAAATAATATAATTGCATTCCTCTGTAACAAAAAAAAAATAATACCAGTGCTTCATAGCAATTTCAAGTCACAAATCAATATTGTCAAGATGTCAACGCTGTAAGTTGATACAAAATGACAGCTCCAATTCTCCCATCGCCCTTCTATTAAATCTGAGGGTTGGATTTAGCTCACTAAGAACAGACAATTCACTTCTTCTTGTTCTTTCCAGACGACCCTGCTTTATCAGAAGCCTTAGATTTTTGAGAAAACTCCACCAAACCTTGTCGAAATGCTTGCTGATTAACCCCATTATCAACCAATATGCTTGTCGCACCCATATTATTAATCTGGATTTAAAACATAAACAAACCTCAATTACTTAAGAAATTTGATCATATAATGTACAAAGAAGTGAGTAAAAGAATGAGATGAGGCAAAAACTTTACCGCTTTAATGTTCCTATCTTCATCATCAAAGAAAAGCATGTCAGTATAGGGGATCCTTGTCCTCCTATGAATTCTCTGAAAGTGTTCCGTCTTGTGTGTCCAACTGGAAAAAATTTCCTAGGTTAACAGAGGAGAAAACTAATAATTGTGAGAAAGAGCACATATTCTCCTAGTAATTTATCTTTGACCATTTAATCAGACAACTATGCAATGAACATAATACCAGTATTGAAGACGGAATTGGACAAAATATTATTTCACTCTCACCTGAGCAACAAACATTGACTGGATGCCTAACTTGTCAAGAAATGTCTTGGCTATGTCAGGAGTTGGTGATCTAGAAGCTATAGCAACATCAATACCCTTGTCCTTCAGAGCATACAATATACCTTTTACATGAGGATACAATGATGGCATTTCTCTTTTGGAGCGGCATTCACTGTGATAAAAATCAGGAAAAAAATTACTAAATGTCTATCTAATTTTAAAATTGTCAACACCGAGCATGCACATAATCACAAAAGTAGGACATTAGAAGACATTTAGATCCGATACATAGTGATCTTTATCCTCCACCCCAGGTAAAGAACCCTGTATATGTTGTGCTATTCTGATCTGATATGAGATATAGAATGCTAAAATGAGAAGAACAGAGTAGACACTGGTCCAAAAGAGAAGCAGAAGGGCATTATGCAAAGGATAATAATGCCTCACTGAAATACTTCGTATTAATTACTTAGCGTCTTAGTGAGATATGTTTTCTAAAGCACAAAAATGAAAAAGTTTGCACACTGGCTATCTTTCATTCTTGAATATAGTTACTTATATTATACATACCAAATATCAAAGGTGGAAACAAACCAAGATACAAAAATTAGGACAGAAAAATGCCTTGCATATATTTCTAGAATAAAGGTTTAACCAATACCATACAGGGCGAATATACAAATCAAGCAATTACTTAGTAGTACTGTAAGAGAACCCTCCAAACCAGGAAAGAAACAATTTATAGCTTATCGAATTCCAAGTTGCCAATTGCCCTAACAAAACCATCTTCAATATTAGATTCTCTGTAGTCAAAAGAAATGGAGAATGCTATTTATTTGTCCCCCTTTCCCCAAGCTCTCTTTCCTTCTTTCTGTTAGTGCCACCCACTAGGAAACAATGTATTGAGAAGCCAATGGAGAATACAAACCTTAGCTGCTGGATACATCATTGTCATATCATGATTCGAAAGCTAGGTTATCCCTTACCTTTTCCATTGCTAACTACAGAAAACTTTCACACTCTACGCCCTCGCCCCGACTCCCCCCCCCCCCCCTCCAAACTTCCCAACAAGGGGGTGAACAAAATAAAATTCACACCAAAGATTCTTATGTCACGAGAGTGAGGGATAACTCAAGTGGTTAGAGATTCCAGGAGATGTTGGGATTGATTCTCACCCCGGCGTTTTGGCTCTGTAAGCACCAAAAAAAAAAAAAAAAGATTCTTATGTCACAAATCAGATGTGCTCTTCCATTTGGTCACTTGAAACAACTGTTATGAATGTTATTCTGAACCACTAACTAGTCACATGAACCAATCGACCTACAACTCCACAATAACTTTCCTATATTCCGTTTTCAACCAAAACACATTAATAAGTGATTAGTTTTAGCATTCCTTAATCTGAAGGGTTTGCATCCTAGGAACATTAAGTTGTAAAGTTGTCATGTAGGATTATAAATATTAAATATAGTAAAAAAAAATGTTATGATACAAGAAGTTCATAACTTTCCTATCAGAATAACATTCAACTTCTCAGATTATAGTTCTCTAAAATGAAGCAAACATATGAAAAAAAAAAATAAAAATTGAAGCACTAATATTAGTCGGCAATTTAACAATTAGCAAGATTTCCAATAATCTGATAATAAGAAGTTAAATTAAAAATAAAATGAGGGAATCAATGCAAAGAGAAAGAATTATAACTAAAAATGAGAAATTATAGAGCAAAATTCTTACTTTGAGTTATTTGTAATTTCATAATTTGATTATACAATGAAAGTCAAAAGATAAACAAGTTTTATTACAAAAAAAGTGAAGAAAGTATACCAGTAGAAAGGCCAGATAGTATAATCGAGATCAAAGACAACCAATTTGGGAAGAACTTGGAACAAATTTATGGTTTGCAGAACTTCTGTTTTGACCCTTTCATCTCCCATATTCTCTCTCTTCTTCCCCAATTTTCTGGGCTTACTTCCTACGCTCAACCTCCAAAATGGTAGGTCGTCAAATGTTAATATCGGATACATAAATGTTTGGTAAATGACTTTTGGCTTTATTGGTTATGGATTTTTTTTACGGTGTAGTTATCTTATATGATCGAAATTTTTAACTGTATACTCCATATAAAAGGTGGATAATTATTTCTAATTGCGAAATTAAGATCCCATAAAAATTAGAGATGATTGGAAAATTGGTCATGTTTTTATATTTATTGGGTGTTTAGAGAAGTACAAGGGCGATTGGTGATGAGAATTAATTTTAAGATTTCATAGAATTGGGAATAAAGCTCTTACCACTTAATCTACCATTCACTCTCAAATTTTAACATGAGCTATGTTTAAGTAAAAATTACTTGGAAAATATTCACGTAACAACTTTATGATGTTAATTTTTATAATTGAGAACAACACTTAAATCTTTCGCTTGAAAGCATGATGCATATGCTCTCAAAATGACTTGTAATTCAAAGTAAAATCACAAATAGTTCGAAAACACTAAAGTGAAAAAAAGAGCACGAATTTGTGATAAAAGGCTACATTAATATTCTGATCAAAAGAACATGAAACACATATGATGAAGTAGAGGTATGTTTTTTCTATTTTTAATTTAGTGTTCTTTTTTTGAACGATATGCTATTTAGAAAACGGGATGCATATCATGCACTCGCTTGTATGATCTAATTTGTTACAAAAATGTAGTACATAATAAAGTTGCAGTACATTAATTTAGCAAAACTTAAGTTTTACAGATACATCAAAAAAAATTGAACATACACTTTATCTAGCAAAAGGAGGAAGGACAATTGAAAAAAATGGTAGGCTAAGCGATCTTTGAGTACTTTATGCTAGCTTTTAAACACCACAAATAGCCAATATTACTTAAGAAACCACTCATTCTTCAGGAGTAGCACTTGCAGCATTGAGGTCCACAGTGAGATCAAGTTCCTGAGACATGTTACAGACCACATGAACAAAGAACAAACGAATGCGCGAGCACACACAATAACACAGACAGTGGTTAACAATGACAATGAAATTGGTAGAACATTCACCTTTCCAGTAATTTTGCTGTACAGCGCGATCACATCCTTCACAGTAGACTCGAAGTGTGTTGTTGCATCATAACTCTGCAGGAAGTTCAATCAGTATATGTACTGCTTAATTACGTATAACAAATTAAAATCTCTTACTCTAAACAATAAGCTAAGAATGCTGTTATAGTATTATACAGGTTGTCTGTCAGGTTTAGAACTTACAGTAGATATGAAGCAGCTATCAGATTCAGGCTGGTTTGTAGGCTCATATCTATCATATGTATCGAAAAATATCTCATCTACCGGTCCAAGAAGATCGATGCCAGGATTTAGCTCAGCCTCTGGGTTATCAGTCTCAGCTTCAGTTGTAACAAATGCAATGTGTTTCCCACTAGCAGCAACATTATGAGTGTAAGAGCAGCAGAATACATACCTGAAAAAATACCAGTTAATATTAGAATGGTCATATACTTATCTACACAGGACAATTAGGCATCATTCTTTCCACTTGAAAATATGTTGTCTGAATTTATTAGCTCTTGTACAAACTTGTTTTTCCTTATTAGAACTTATTGAGCCTTAATTATCGGCACTCATTTTAGTTGTGACTTGAACTTGGGTAGAAATTACTCGTATATCATAACTCTATGAGATAATAGTCATAGTACACAATATAGAAGTACTACAAACTGCCTTTGCAACACAGGAAATTGAATTGATGAGCAAAATGATTTCAGATTTCACATACATGTCTGATTTTCGACCAAGTTGCTTCTGTGGCAGGATCACCTGAACTGAGTGTGAATCTTTGGTTTCTGGGATTGGGTGACTCATTATACATATAGCACGCGTTACTCTTCCAACCTTACATGCCTGTTACACCCAAAAACAGAATACATATCGAAATTATATGTCTCATCAAATGTCCCTTAAGAATGATCAGAATATTTGCACTTTATCTTGAATAAGAAAATTAACATAATGGCATAAATATGTTTCATTTTGAGAGCTTGCCTTATCAGGTAGATATGATGGATCACAAACAATTTTCTTGCATTTAGCAGTTTCTCCTTCAGAGGATACTCCAATTGCTTTCCCACTATCATCAAAAACTACCTGTCATCCAAAAGAATATCACACTCTATACAGTATATTATCTTTCATTCAGACTAGATACACACAAATTTTCCTCGAAATGATGTTACTCAAAGAACAAATGTTGTAGCACAATAGATACCGAACAATCTGGCTTGTTGAGCATGTAGGTTCCACCATAAACTGCGCTTAAACGAGCAAATCCCTGTCAGGGAAAGCAGAGAACATCAGAGCTGTGTCATGTGGGAGAATAACATACAAAATATCATGGCAGGAAAACAAAAAAAAAAAAAAAAAAAAAAAAAGGCTTAGTTACCTGAGGCAATTCTCCAAGTCCATACAGTGGATAGATGTAAGGAGATCCTCCTTGAAATCGAGCCAAAGACTCTGCATATAACTTTCAAAACAAAAGTCCAATATGATTAGCAGCAAATTCACATTAGTCACTCAAAGTCAGAAACATTACAATTAAGTATCTGAAAACAGAAATCCAAAACATTCATATTGCATAAACACCAATAAATCTAATAAGATAGCATACAAAATTCAGCATAACCAAGCAAATTCTTTAACGGTAGCATCAGTTCTTAGACCGTGTAAAGTCAGATGAACACGCGCATGACACAAACACTATACATGCATATTAACCTTGCTAGGGAAAGAAGTAAGCTCCTATGAGCAGAATGAGCTTTTTAATGACAACCTGAACAGGTTTTTCTATGCAAATGTAAATCCATGATTATGTTGCTTATACATGAGAAATGAGTTCATACATACAAAATGAGTAAATTAGTGCTCGAAAAGGGGCACGAGTGTCACCTTCATTCTCTTCACGAAATCTATGGCAGGTTGATCCAAGTAACTATCATCCAGATAAAGTGCCAAGGCATGACCAATGAAATCAATTGTATCATCCTCTAACCCATATTTTCTACACCAAACAAGGAAAAAATTTAGGCAAATATGGCTATTTGCGCTTTTTCATTAACAATATTATTAACATTAGAGCTATTAATTAACATTTCCTTAGACTAATAGTCACAGCTTTCATAGACAAAAGAACAGAATTCAAAAATCAAAGTGAAGGATGAAATATTACGAAATAAGATCTCTTGCAGTAATCTTGTTCAAATCCAACCCTTCGTGAGACTTAGGATCATTATCTTCATAATCTTGCACATAAATAAAGAACTTTCTAGCTCGTCTCTTTTCGAAAAGCCCCATCAAAGGGGACTTCAGAGCTTCAACATCTGTAGCAGGCACCTTGTAAATCTGCAAGAACCATTTTAAGTTAGAATTTCGACATTTTTCATGAAGTAACACAACATCAGGAAAATTTTTGTATAATGTACCTTGCCTTTGTTGTACACAAAGCTACCATCCACTGCCTTAAAATTAAGATATTTAGTGACATCGGTGTGGATGAGTATACGAACCAATACTTCATTCGCCATCATGAACTACATGTAAAATGAGCGCGATAATAAATAACTTAACATATACAAAGTAGCAAAGATTACGAACATGTTACATGTTTATTACATGTTTACGAAGAATTTTATTAGGTTAGATGATTAAAATTGATGTACGTACGTGTTTAATTAAAATGATGGTACGTACGTACCTTAGGTATCATGTCAACATTGTACTCTTTGCTTGGACCTAAGCTTTCCGGAGGCTTGTCATCACCCCTAAAGCGCTTCCAAAGCTATTTCAGAAGCAGTAAAGAATTATTATTGGTGCCTAAACATAAATGTTAAAGGGAATTTGCATTTCGTAAAGAAAATGTTGACTTCATTACATTCGACTTCATAAATGGTACAACTAGAACTAATTTTTACTCATTTTATCATTTTAGGGAGCCCCATGTGAACAAATGAGTGAGATTGTAACACGTAGATGGTACAACCTGTTATATGTGTATTATGTATAATCACGCGATTAGGGGACATTATTAAGGTGTATTGGGAAATTTACCTGATTGAGATTGAGAGAAGTTGAAGCTCCTCCATAATAGTCATTCCTGTCCATATGTAAGACCTGTTTCAAGTCCAAATAAAGAATTTAATTTTAAAATGTTCATGATTTCATTTAAACTTATGTAAAAGTTTTTCTATTGTTTTATCATATACATTATGATTTTTCATCCAAAAAAAGGTAATTTTAAGCTTTACAAATTGATATTTAAAAAAAAAAAAAATTGTGTCAATCAATATTAACTTTAACATTACTCCAATACCCTTAAAAATGTTCCGCCATTAATAAAGTTGGATACTCTAAATCATACCCCTTTTTGTCTTTTAAAATTATAAGGCCTTACAAAAAATATGATTGTACATTAAGAATTTCAAATCCACTTACATCATTACCCCAGTAAAACTACAAATAAAAAAAAAAAAACTCCAGGAAACAATTACATCAAAATGACAATAATAATGATAGAGTCTTGGTTGAGTTGGTCCATTAACAAATAATAACGACAACAATAACATCGAAGATAAATTGAAGTTGAAAGGTTATAGAGAATTACTTTAAGGCCATCAACGGAAAGAAGACCACTGAGGATGCATTCCTTAAGACCAGTACCAAGAACAATTACATCGTACTCTTCATCCATGATTACCAATTCAGCTTTTATCTCACTTTCAATTAATTATTAATTAAACTCAGAGAATCAATTAATGATAGGATTAAAACTGTAATTATGTTGTTGACTTGTTGAGGAATTAAGGATTAGTAATTTGGATTAATTGATGTAATCCAAAAAAAACAAAGAAAGAAATGGTGTAGGAAAATAGAAGAAAAACGGGGTGTAACGAAAAAAGCGTTACATCATGAAAAGTTGAGGAAAATTCTCAAATGCCAAAAATGACCTATATCCCTTTGAATGTTTGGCGTCAAATCAGCCGTTTTACCACCCTATTTACTCATTATCTTTTAAATTTACCACCTCTAATTTGAGGCTGATCCCCCCAAACTATGGACCTATAGTAGTAGATTAGTAGTCATGTACTCATGTTTGACAAAACGTAATTATAAAATCAATTGTTAGTCGTAATAATAGATGTTAAATACTAGAGTAATTATATTTGTGAAGATGGATACAAAGTATATCGGAGTAAAAATTACTACCTCCGTTATAGGTTATGTGCAACGATTAGACATTTTCGCTCTCTGTTTTATGTCAAATCGTTGCACACAACCTGTAACGGAGGTAATAGATAAGGATCTCAACTCTAGTCGTTGTGATTTAGGGTTCATATCGGATTGACATGTATGAGTAATTAATCCGACAAATAACAACAATAAAATTATACCCAAAAAAAATAAACAATAAAAAAATCAAGAAAAATAAAACTTTTTTAGCAAAAATTCTTGTGATGGAAGTACCATTTATAATGTATATTGTCGTTACATTTACATAATAAATATCTTCCTGTCATGCAAATGTGCAATGCAAGGTTTCAAAATGAGACCATACTAATATGCTATATGAAAGATTGTGTATGTCCTAATGTCCTGTACTCCTAATCACTATTACATGATTTACATGTTACATCTAAGAATTTATTATGCAACTTCAAATCACACCTGTGGTTGAAGTTTAGTTGTCCGAACTCAAAACCAAGGATCAAATCTCATTTGCATTATTATTGTTGTCCTCTCTTTCTACAAAGTGCAAACAATTGACACGTAAACTAAACAAAAAATATGGTCGAAGTTTACAATAGAGAGAACAAATTTTATTGGTATAAATATACATACACCTCACCTTATTTTATTGAATTAAAGGGGTTAAAAAAAATGCAAATAATTAAGTGTTGAATTCAAGGGTATTAAATAAACCCTAGTCTAAGATTAGTGTCAAAAGAAACACTATTATTCGGAATGTGATTATGCTCAGGAAATAGTGCTAGTTGTTGCCCCGAAGCATGTGATTTGCCTTCAATGGCATTCTTAATCTGCACATATTAATATTAACATGAGCCTTGACAAAATGATTAAATTTTTAACTGAAAGTAATTGAACATATTCACAACATTACCTTCTGATTCAAATCCTTGTTGTTCTCAATCAATTTGTTTTCCTGGAGGTTTTTAGAATAAAGTTTAAACATATCCCACTTAAACACACATTTTTAATAGAATCTACTAATTAAAATATAAGCAACAATCTGCGATTATGTAACTACCAAAATCTACTATTGTATGAGCCATCACAAGGAAATGTACTCGACTGAGTTAAAAGTTAAAATCCGTGTTAATTGTAATTGGTGCATATGTACCGGATGAAAACTATAGGAGCATGGGCAACTTACCTACCTACCCCTAGGTATGCAACATCCATAGTTTTGAACAAAGTAGGTGACTTAGCTTGTTATAATACAGCCATATAAGAATTTTGCAAGTACATACACCAACACATATAAAATGCAATTTTCTCTTAGCCACAACTCCAACAGAAAAAACTACCACAGTCCAAAGAACATGTAATATCTTCTTCTTTTAGACAGTTCTAATAATCTTATTCATTTGCATTTGTAACAAATCAAGGCCTTAAAAATACTTGTACATAAATAAAATAGGTATAAGTATAATTCAAGAAAAAAGGAGTTCACCTTTCGTTTAAGATCTGTGACCATTCTCAGAAGCTTGTCATCCTATAATCAATAACAAAAACAAGGTTTAGGTGAATAGAAAACAAGCACTGATTATCAATGAAACGCGTATGGAAAAAATGTAATAATTCGGAAAAGAATGCATTAATACACTCTTGGCCTTTCTTTAGTCCGGTTACTTGAACTAATTAGCTACTTATTAAAAATGTGTGATTGCTCAAGTGTTTAAGAAAACAACACCAAACAATTAGTCAAGAAGACAAGAAGTCTGTTTTCTTATCTATGGCTTTACAAGTCACAAATAATCAACTTTAACCTCATTGTTCTACTAGCAGCATACAAAATCAAGCTAAGTCATTGTATATATATATTAAAGGTCTGTTCTCATACGTTTATTTTCAGTTCAGTCTATGTGAATGGGCCCTAAGTGTGTTAAATATTGTTAGATTTTATAATGTAATTAAAAACATCAAAAAGCAACTAATCATCTTAAATTATGTGTTGTGACAAGTATCTAAACTAATATATATGCAACTATGGTGCGAGTGAGGAATATATAGCTAAAGTGGTTAGAGATTTCTTCTCAATTTTCAGGAGATCTTGAAATCGATTCTCACCTCTGTCTTTGTGGCTCTCTAAACATCAAATATATATATATATATATATATATATATATATATATATATATATATATATGCAACTATGGTAGAAATTCACTAGCTAGCTTACCAACCTTCATTCGACGAACACAAGTAAAAGCTTTCTCAATTTGTCTCTCAAGCTTAACAAGTTCTTCAAAACCTAACCCTTCTAGATCTTCTCCTTTCAACCGTCTGTCATCAAACAAAAGCTAATCGTGAATGTGCAATGTTGATCTATGAAACTAAGTGCAGAATATAGGAAGAAATACCTTAATTCTTGCCTTTTGTCTTCAACTTCCTTGCTTACAACAGCACAATCATCCTCCAAAAACACAGGATAAGGATCAAGCTGCTCATCATCAGGAAGTTTTTCTGTGTGTCTCATATACCTTTGAATAACTCGAGTCACCCTTATTTTTAGAACAAAGATTAAAATTGTTAGTTACATCTATACACCAGAATCAGTATCAAGTACTGTATTCAATTATGTTTCTACAAACAGAAATGGTTGTGCACATTTTGACTACTCCGGTCTGTTCAAAGATTTAAAGTGTTATCTTCGTTGAATTTTGACTTATCTGATCTTATTTATACTTTTTTTAATTAACCGGTCTTAAATTGACCATACCTTATTTGATCTACAGTATTTAAACTTATTTTTAAATATTCATCCATATTTAGCTCTGCTTTCTTCACCTTAAACAAGGCATTAATATTATTATAGTCTAATCAAATCTTTCAAGATATATTGTAAAAAGCCTAGACGGTTTTGGTTTGGTTGGATCAAAATCAATCTTTCCGGGTTTGAATTTTTCTAGTGTTACATGATTCTTTTTGGTATAGTTTAATATGACTTCAATAACAAGAAATAAGTTTCTAAAATAAGATGAAGTGAAGTAGTGAACTAATCTTTAATCAAAAATTATATTTACAGACATAATAAATATTATAGTTATCAAAAACAAAAAAAAACAAAAAAAAATCTGATCTTTTCTTTTTTTGCTCTCCTTAATTTATCAATTGTAATAGGTGAAGATTCAAATCCAACCTTAGATTTTGTACTGTAGAACAATAGGGTAGCTAGTACGGACTTATTAAATTAAAAAATAAATAAATAAACCTAGATTAGCTAGCTTCATTTCCAGATTTTCTACTGTATACACATTAGGTCAAATCATCATACTACATACATTCTGATTTTTCCCAGATTTTCCTCTAAAGTTTTTTCAACTTTTAATTTCCTCTTCAACTACTCCATTTCATGATTTTTTCTTATTTTATTTTTAATTAAGAATATAAATAAAGAAATTAAATTTCAGACAAAAATATAGATGAAAATGCAAATCATAAAATTTAAAAAAAATAATAAGTTAAAAACAAAAATAGGAGAGAGAGAGAAAAATTAAACCTTGAAGTGGAGAATTCATAGAGTTTGTCAGAAGAAGAGAAGACAATGAGAGCAATTTCAGCATCACAAAGAGTTGAAAGTTCTTGAGCTTTCTTAATAAGACCTTTTCTCCTCTTTGAAAATGTTACTTGCCTTGCTGCTATATTTTCTATCTTCTTGATCTGTATTCTTGATCTCACCATGTTTTTTTAATCGGCTCGACGGCTCCTATGATTAATTAATTCATAATTAGACACACGAAAAAGAAAAAAATTAAGTTAATTAATGGGTTTGAAAAAAAAGAAATAAAAAAGAAAAAGATATAGTACATAAAAACTGCGTTCAGGATAAGCTAAGTACCGCCACAAAGAAGAACAACAATAACAATAACAGTAACAACAAATTGTTAACGTGTTTAGTAACGGTAATAAAAGGAACGAGCTGAGGTTGTTTTCGAAAGACTCAATAGAAAAGTAATTGAAAGATTTATTTTGAGCTAGGTAGCTATCTTTGCAAAATCTAAATCTTGCCATATTTAAAAGAAAACCAAGAAGAAGAGGTAACCCTAGAAGGAAAGGAATGAAGAAATATGAGAGGAGCATAATCAAAAGCAAAAAGGTATAATGGGGCCAATGAATATGACATTGGTATAATTATATGATAAGGATTGGGCAAAGTGGTCTGATTATTAGGGCAAAAAGAAAACTATTTGTGTTTTTAATTGGCCCTTGAACAATCTAATGGAGCCACAGTATCATTGGACTCGATCGTTGAGTCATTATACTACTGGTGACCTAGAGGAAGAAAAGGGTCAAGGGAGGAAAGATGACAAGGAGAATACCTATTGGTGAGTTCAAACAACGGGTCGATTCTTATCTATGGTCTACTCTGTCATAATTTTTATTTTTTTCTTCTCAGTCATTATACCATTATGTATCAAAAATTTTAATTTCATAAATTTTATATTTTTACATACTATTGTGTACCAAATTTTTAGATTTGTTCCACATACCATGAAAAGTTGTTGGTTAATTGGGGGTATATTGTTTTGGTCATTAAATCTACTACTTGGGGTAGGATCTATCGATGTTTCTCTTTCTAGTTAACTCAGTTGAATAAAATTACACATTATGCGGCTGATTCATCCTTCTTGCCACAAGTGTCGGTGTGTTGCTTGTTTAAAGTTAAAAAAAAAAACGTATTTTAGGTATGATTTCAACTTTATGTATGAAAATTTGAAACAAAAATCATCATTTTATAAAATGATTTTCACTATAATCATCACCCAAAAAAGTGACACTCATTTAATCACTTATTACTAGTTATAATGTTCGAGTTTCAAATCAATTATTGAGCCATGTATTTATACTTGCCTCGTTTATTTTAGCTGCTCCACTTAGTACTTTTATCACTGCTTGTATGTTCAACTTTGACCATGTACTTGGCCTTTTTATTTTTGGAGTATAATCCAGACATACTCGATTACCACCAACCTTACAAATTTCTCTATCTATAACTTTTGATAAACAGTTGATAGAAGATATGAAAGCCGTACAATGAAATGGGGCATGTTTAGAGCCTCCAAAAAATTGGCACGTTGTAGTCCACCTATACCATACCAAATTACCAATATACCCTCGATTGTTCTTGTTCCCCGCGTTTTTAAATACGTCATACGACTGAATGACTGATACGAGTACTAGTACCAAAAATAGATTTACAAAATCTAACATGAATAATGAATTTATATTAGTACTTTCACTGCTATGTAGTTTGTTCATGTGTTTTATACTTTCATGTGTATTTCTATCTCTCTGTACTTAATTTGGGCCAATCACACTGATATTAGTTTTGGGCCGATGGTTTTCGGTCCAAATGTTGGAATAGCCTATAGCTTCTATTATAAACTCTCCATTATTTTATTTTTTTTTTTTTTTTTTTGGTGTTCCAAACCAAACAGATCATCCTCTGAGGTAATTTAGATTTGGGGCTCAGTTTTGAGTAGATTAGGTTTCGATCCCTTTTTAATTGTTGTTGCGAGGGATCGAACAAGCAGCCTCATGACTAAGGGCATGTTCTAATAGACTGAAATCAACAAACTGAACTGAGCTTAATTGAAATGAACTGAAATGAAATTAATATGTTTAAGAGAACGAAATTAGAAGCTGAATTGAATTGAATTGAACTGAACTTAATTGAATTGAACTGAAAATAAACGTATGAGAACATTTCGAGTCCACCAACACTTTATTTGTATCTTGATTTATTATTATCTCCTCTCCAACTCTTTAGCTATGAACTACTCCGTACAGTAGTACAATGTTATATAGTTAAGTTTGATTATTTTCAATTTTTCATACTACGTATATAGAATCCTAATTTAATTTCATACACAACAATCAATTGTAACCTGTTGATTACCGATCAAATTAAAGTTTACTAATTTATTGATATCATAAACAATAAAACAACACATCGGTTAAATAATTGAAATTGTCTCTTTGAAGATATTTGTTATAAGATAGGCATGATATATAGTTAGAGGCCTTAGAGCTGCCAACAACAATTTGCAATCATGCATATAGATCGTACTTCTTCGTTGATTATAAAAAAAATTAAACTCGTGTACTCGAATTAAAGGGTTCAACTAATGTCTTTGTCAATCTAAATGCACGATTAAATTATTCAAACCAATGATCAATCACGCCATTGTATATAAATATACTTATCCCACCTATATATTACTATATATTGGTCCACTTATTAATTCACATGTAAATTATTGTACATTAAATTATGTTTACTTAGCTTGCCTCAAATAAAAGAAAAAAAAAATGTTACCTAATACTTAATAAAATTGAGTTAAGTACATTGTTGGGGTCTAAGTTTTTTATTTTTTCACCTTTTGGGACCTAAGTTTTTTTTGTTCACCTTTTGGGATCTAGAGTTAAGAATCCGGTAACTTAACTCACCTTTAACTCACCTGAGTAAAAACGTAGTCCCTTAACATTAAAAATTGTCCAAAAAACATAATCCCTTCATAAATTCTGTCAAAGCAAAAAAATACACCCTTCATAAATTCTGTCAAAGCAATTAGGAACAATTTTTTTCAACGAACACAAATCCAATATCCAAAAAAATTAGTCGTTAGAGAATACAGGGAGTATAAACAGAGTCATATGCAAAATCTTAAGTTGAATAATATTGAATTCTACATTATTTTTTTTGTTTAGTATATATAAAAGTCTTGGGATTACACCAAAAGTTTAGTAGTGTATGTTTAATTAATTATCCTAATTATATCAAAATTGTATCTTTTAATATTTGCATCAAAAAGAAATTATATCTTTTTAATATTTACTCATATAAAATACTATCTTATGACAAAAGTTTGAGAATATTTCCTAATTTAATAAAAACTAGTTTGTTTTCGGTTGAAGTACTTTTATTTGTATGTATAATAGGATAAAAATTGTTTAAGTCTAGATTATTTGTGTTAGAAATTTTATTTTCTTAACAATTGTTTGTAATTGTTATTTGACTATCTTTTTATGAAATCTTTTTTCACTAAATAAAAATAAAATAAAAGTAACTCCACAATAATCATAAATTGGATTCCATTAGGGTTTAATATATTTCTCTGTTAATTTTATCTTCTATCAATATACATCAAAGATAAAAACTAAAAACTTTTGTATAACTTTATGGATTTGTAGAATTGATTTTTTTTTTTTGTGTATTTTCCAAAAAGAGTAGATTAAAAGTACGCCACCAATGAGCCGTAGCATATATGAACAGCTATACCTATTTGATTATACGATTATGAGGCCGGTTTAAATTTATACCAAAATGAAGCTTCTTGCATACACTTCCAATACTCCAAGCACACATGTGTCTCTTTTTGGAAGGCCACCAATCAAATCAGTCAGAAAAATGCTTTTAGGGGTCTAAGTTTTATAGGGGATTAAGTTTTTATTTTTTCTACTAACTTTCTAACTAACTAAGTTCTTAACTAAGGGACTAAGTTATTTAACCCAACCTAGTTAAATGTACACCAGAAATTGCACATGAGGTCCCAAACGGTGAAAAAAAAACATAGGTCCTAAAAGGTGAAAAAATTAAAAACTTAGACCCCACTATTTTACTTAACTCTAATAAAATTATAAAATGTTAGTATGTTACCTAAAGGTTCATATATCAATATCTCATCATATGCGAATATACTACAAAGTATTTAAGTATTATTACTAACTCTATTAAAAGAGTGACATCTTTTTTAGGCATGGTAATAGTTTTTTGGTGTTTAAAAAGTTACAAAGATGAATGATAAGAATCGATCTCAAGATCTCCTGATATCAAGAAGGAAGCTATATCCATCTAGCTATTTTCTCGCTCTCTAGAGTTGGTAAATAACACTCCTAATACTTTGTAACTTGGTATCTAGTATGAGTGATAAATAGCTATGTTGAATGGACTATATATCTTTTTCGGCAAAATCGTGGAGTGGAATTCTTTAAGTTGAAAGGGAACAATAGAATAATATACAAAATTTACATGATCTATTGGTCAACCGTTATACTTTCTTCATTCTTTTATGTTTGCCCCGTTTATTTTTCTCTATATTTTCAATACACAATACATTGTGGGTGCTTCTAGGGGACCTCAATGAGGTCGCTAGCTAGAGCTTCGAAAAAAGAGGGGCGCACGACTCGCCACTTTAGACTTTCACAATGGGTTGATTAGAATCTTCTAGAGAATGCAATGGCTTTGGTAGTTTTGGGGTTTAATGCATATCCGCTAAAAGGCAATTTTTTAAAAAAGGGTAATGTACATTTAACTTTTATAATAATAAATCATATTGAAATAATAAGGTTTCTAAAAAATTATTACTCCACAACAATTTACATTTATACCCACACATGTTACTTTAAAAAATGGACTAGTTCATGATCTCAAAAACAAATTAAAAATTCTCTAGACAATCTTACATAATGTTTCGTTAATATAAATTATAGATCAATACGAGATTGTAAATCTAAGGGGTAAAAGGGTTTCTGAAAAATTGTGAGTTTATTACATCAAGTATTTATTTGAAAGGTAATTATTGGTTAAAACTAGCTTAAATTCTTTTATCATAATTGATAGATTTTTTCCTTGAAAATATAACTAATAAAATGATCCCTTTTTTTTTCTTCTTCCTAATAAAGCATAAAGACTTTCATTCCGTTATCTGAAGCGCTATATATATTAACTAATAAATCTTATAATTTTCATTTTGTTTCTTAACTAGGAGATACTATCCATGGATTTGAAACTGGTTTAGAAAAGGAAATCAAGTCAAACTCTTATCCTCATTTCCATTTATTTTAAGAAAATAAATTTAAGATACGTTAAGTTTAGTTCAAGAAAACTGAAAGTAAGTTTTACTAAGATTAGAATATAAGATAAGAAAAATATGAGGTACTTTGTACATTACATTAATCTTTTGTAATTTTTTTTTATTGTAGTCAACTTATGTACGAGTATTACTAAAATTTATATTAATTACCCCACATTAGAGTTTATCTAAACTACAATATTAGCACAAATTTTTACTCCATCAATATAATAAGGGCTCGTTTGGTTGAATGTAGGAATTGCAAATTCCTTGGAAAATTGATTTCCCATGAAATTGAACTTCCTAGGAAATTCTAAAAATTGTTTGGTTAACTAAGGGAAGTGGAAATTCCCACGGGAAGTTCCACTTACCTAGGTCTCCCTAGGTAATTAACTTCCCCCATTTTGTGGGAAGTGGAAATTCATGGGAATTTCTACTTCCCATGAATTTGTCAACTAAACAACTTTAAAGAATTTCAATTCCTAGGATTTTCAACTTTCCATGTTTTTATTTGTCAACCAAACAACCTCTAAGATTGTTTTGGTATTTTACGAGTGACCGTATAATATGGCCCGCCGCACACAAAATACTTTAACACTCCATTAGAGCTTATTTTTGCTTTTAGGGGAAAAAAACGTAAAATGTAAATAACTCCTATACTCCTATTAATATCCAAACCAATAAACACTGAAGTAGTCCACTAAACTAGTACCAGTAGTTCAGTACCAAACAACACTTAAATTTATTAATTTTATTAACTCTATAAAAAACAACAATCAAATTAAAAAAATGACAATATTACCCCTATTCACCCACCATTTCCTCAACTAATAAGATATTAAAATGAAAACCCCTGTAATTTTTCCCAATCCATAGCCCCCCTTAAACCCTTCTTCCTCTTGAACCTTATTTCACCACTTGAAAAACAAAATAAATCCAAAATTAAAAATATCAAAAAAGTTTTAGAGAGAGAAAGTCAAGCTTATAATTTTTTATAGAGAGAGAAAGTTAGAAAATTGGGGTTGGAGGAAAAAGACAAAAATGGATCCGCATACTCAGAGGGCGGAGGCGGAGCGGTGGTTAGGGATTGCGGCGAAGTTACTGACGGCGCGTGACTTTCTAGGGAGTAAGACATTCGCGATCCGAGCGCGTGAAGCTGACCCTAACAACGCTGTTTCCGACCAGATACTGGCCGTCGTTGACACCGTACTCGCCGGCGAGAAGCGCGTGAACTCCAACCAGCAACCGGACTGGTATGCGGTGCTTCAGTTGCCGAGGCTTGTTAGAGACCCTGAGTTGATCGCCGACCATTACCGACGGCTTGTGCTGTGTTTGAATCCCGAGAGGAATAGGTTTCCGTTTGCGGATTACGCGTTGCAGATGGTGATGGACGCGTGGTCTGTGTTGTCGGATCCTACGAAGAAATGGCTGTTTGATAACGAGCTCGCGCTGTATTTGCAGCAGGGCGAGCCTGTTGTTAGTGCTGCGGCGGCGGCAGCGGTTGGGGGTTCTGCTTCGGGTAGTGCTGCTGCTGCTGTTGCTGCTGGTGGTGGTGGAAATAGTGGAGGGAGTCAGTTGAATACTTTTCAGTTTTTTCAACCCCAACCGCTGCCGCCGCAGCAGCAGCCACCACAGCAACAGCAGCAGCAGCCACAACAACATCATCAACAGCATCATCATCAGCAGCAGCCGATGTGGCAGCAACAACAGCAACATCAGCAGCAGCAACAACAACAGCAAATTAATCAGAGAGAGTTTATGCCGCTTCCGATTCAACCGCAGCAACAGCAGCAGCAGCCGCAGCAACAGCAGCAGCAGCCGCAGCAACTTCGGCCTCAGTGGCAGATGCGAGACCCAACTCCTTCCAAAGGAGGAGGTGGAGGTGGAGGAGGAGAGAGAAATAAAGGGGTTATGAATGGGATTGGAATTGGGGCGAGAGTAACAACAACTGCATCTCCGATGATACCGACGCAAACTACTCCTCGACAAGTTCCACCATTCCGGCCACCATCACCGCCACTTCCACCCGTATCCGCGGCACGAGTATCGCCGCCACTGCCGTCTGTATCGGCGGTGAGAGTAGCGGTACCAACGGCGATTCCTATTGTTGATGGTAATGCTGGAAATGCTCCTACTAGTGCTAATGTTATTAGTAATAGTGTTAATGATAATAATAATAATGATAGTAATATTAATGGTGCTGGTACAAATGCTGCTGCTGCTGCTAATAATAATGAGAATAATCATGAACATGTTGTAGAAGAGGATGATGATGATGAAGATGATGATGTTGTAGAAGATGTAGAAAGTTTTTGGACAGCTTGCCCTTACTGTTTTTACATATTTGAGTATCCAAAAGTGTATCAGGAGTGTACTCTTAGGTGTCAGAATTGTAGGAAGGGGTTTCATGCTGTACAGATTCCGAATCCCCCTCCGATTAGTCCTGCTAATAATGCTGGTGGTGGGAAGGAGAAGGAGAAGGAGAAGGAGAAAGGCAAGGATAATTCGTTCTGCTGTTGGGGTTTTTTCCCATTAGGGTTTTCGATCACAGCTTGGAAGAAGCAAAATCAGGGTGGGAACTTGAATGGGGCGTCGAATTGGATGCCCTTTTCGCCAATGTTTACTTGCCCGGTTGAAAATGGTGGTAAGGGTTTCCAGTGGTTTGACAATAATGATGGCAATGCCAATGTTGGTCCAAAGAATGTTGTGACAAAGAATACTCCTCGAGTTTATATAGATGATGATGATATTCTTGAGCTTTCTGAACCTAGTGATTTGGATTCATCTGATGGTGATTGGAGAACTTATAATCAGGAAAAGAATAAGACTAAGACGAAGAATAAGAAGAGGAGAGGGAGAAGTGGGGTACAAAGGCGAGGTAGACCGCGCAGAGGAGCTGTGTTAAATCAAGTGAAACAAAATGTAGCTAGTGGAGGTGGAGTGTCTGTTGGTGGTGATCATCTGGAAGATGGTTCTGAGGGGCAAGTTGTTATCGGTTTGACTGCTGATAGATCTGATACAGGCAAGACAGTTACTGCTTCCGTTACCAGGAAGCAGACTAGGAGAAGTAAGAAGGATGTGGGGAGGTTAGATCTGAATGTGGAATTCAACAATGATGGTGAAGAGCATGCCCCTACAGTAAGTGCAGTAAATGGGGAAGAGGATGGGATCGAAAATATTGCATTTTTTGAGGGACTTGATGAATTTCTAAGTACATTGCCCATACTAAATGTTGGCGGGGATGAAAAGGCTAAACCTTCTTAGCAAGACCGATCCTCTACTCCAATTCAGATGCCCCTGATTGTTCTTTTTTGCTGTTTTTGTATGCAGGTAGCTAGTCTTGATGTATGTAGAGCAGCTAGGATTTCTTTAAAGCTTTTTCCTGGCTGCCATTATCTAGTATGTAATTTTCAGGAATTTGATCATCAGGTCTAGTTTTCTTTTGTTGTTAGAATCCTCCTCTGTAGATTATCCTGCTGTCATGAATAATTTCTTGATGTTAATTTTGGTACATTTATGGGATAAGCAGGGTAAAGCTTGAAACTCTTCTGTATATAAACCATCATTTTGTAGTTTTGTGCTTTTAATTGTGCTGATTTTCCATGAATCTCTGCTGCTCACCCTCCTTTAAGGAGTCGGGAAAGTGAACAGAGATGGTGGAGAAACTAGTAATGCATCATCATATCATGCAATATGAAATATCAATCTCTTTTCAGGTCAGTGCTGGAAATAGCATGGAAAAGATACGGTGAATTGTTGTTGTTCGGCTCTAGTGTTCTGACTCTTATTCCTTGTGGAAAAATGAAATTCAGGGTGACCGTAGCTGTACTTTATTAACCTTGTCATGGTAGATAGAGAGAGCAAGTCATACTTCAATCTTCATTTGAACTTGATCATTCAAGTGGCTGCTTCACTTGTCTTCTGGAAACTGGAGTATACTGGCTGGCTATGACAGTAGTCATAGCACTGAAGGTAAGTGTGTTTATAAGTTCGGTTTTTTCAGGAATGCTAATAATTCTAACAGAATGTTAGAGTAAATAATGTAAGACATTCTCTAAGCAATGGTGTGGTGACTCGTTGTACAATGAGCATGATTTGGCTAACAGAAACCATGAGTGAAACACTACTGCTACTCACACGACCTATTTAATACCACAATGTCTTCTCATATTGGCCTATTTCCATAACCAGAACTGTAATTATGATGCTATGATTGCTATCTAGTTTCTACAGTAACATGTCCAAATTGGCACTGCTTACCACTACCTTGTTTTACCCTATCCATCCATAATCCAACACCATACATCCAAAGTACAAACTATAATGATCTGAAATCTGTATTGAACATTGTTAGTGTATTGCACATGATGACGTTCTCGTATACCCTTTGAACTCAAAAGTCAAAAATAACAAATTAGGATATGGCTGCAAAAACAGAAACTAATAATTGAAAGCTAGTATGATTTTTTTTGAGACCTCAGTTTACCGACCTTTCTTCCTTCTGCTGACTTCTTACCTGTAGTATTTGTTAACTTTCCAGTGTGGGTATTAAGATCAAAGTGATAAGAAGATTGTTATTGCCAATTTAAATTTCCCCTTTGCATACATAGTGGAGCATTACTGCTTTGGCCTCTGACTGTTGTCTAATATTTGCATGCTTATGGATCCCTCACCAGTATATCTTTGTAGAAATACAATAATCCAATTATTAATCATGTCTAGATTTGTTTTATGTTCCTAGAAATATTTGCTCTCTGGTTTGCTGTCATTTTCAACTGATTTTGAGCCTTTATAATGTATAGTCTGCTTTGCAGGTAGAATTTCTGGTCTTTGATATCATTTATGACTTTTTCTGCACCAAACTTAATAGTTTGTGATGTATAGTGCACCCGATTAAGGTTGTGCTATTCTTTGCACCCAACCTATAGTTGGTGCTATTGAGGCCAATTTTGTCTAACATAAAATGAAGCCGTGTATCTAATGAGCATAAATCGTTGTGCATTCTTAAACCACCTAGAACTCTCTGTCAATTGCCAGTGTACATCAAAGGCCTTCCACTTCAGAACTGGGACATTTGTCCTGTCTGTTTGCATGTCCTGATGTTCTTAGTCTATGTAGTATGGAATAGTTAAGTGCAGCATATATTTATAAAATCCAAGGGAATTTTTGTGTTAAGTATATTATTTTTGAGTTTATGCCCCTTCTTTTAGGCAGTTTCACTCTTGCTTGTGTATGGCTAGCAATGAGTATTCAACTGGAGCAAAAACAGAATCTTCAACTGGAGTGGGGAGAAACGAAGGAAAAGAGGGTTCAGGGAGTGTTACTTGGTAAAAATGTGAGGTATGATCATTATTCAGACTTTCTTTTTGCAAAAAAACTGTGGAGACAATTGATTGAGTGTTGATGTAGGATGTTGGAAGGTGAAAGTTTTTGTATGTCCTATGTGTTATCAGGTTGAAATGCGAGTATGAACAAGCAATTGAAATTTAGAAACTGGTTGTCAAATTGAGACATTAACTTATGAAACTGGGTCTGCAGTAAAAATTCAAACGATCTTTGATTGAATCATTAGGATATTCTTCGTAGTTGATGGTTTCATGCCCTACAGAAAAAAATAAATAAAAATAACAAGAGTGCATGTTCCTCCAAGGCACCGTATAAATAATGCCACTTTATGCCTGTTGCAGTTTTGCCTCAGCTTCTTGTAGCCCTGTCTTTTCATATACTGATCTTGTTGTGTTATTTTAAGCCTAATATGAATTTGAAATCACAATTTCTGTGGTGCTGAGGCTTCAGTGTCCATGTATCTTGTCCTGTGTGTGCTCCATAACGCTCCATACCAAATAGGATGAAATGTAAGTCTGGAATACTCTTTAAGATTAACTTTTTAAATCATCACATCTCGTCCTCTATGCCCCTATCCTTAACATCACTGTAAAGATGTTGAGTTTCTCGTCAAAAATGTGAAATTTACTGTTATGCATCTATTGGTTTGGAAGTATGACTTATGGTATTCCATGTCCAGATCTAGTGATCTTTATATTTGGGTGATCTCTAATTGAGTTAGTGATTTCAGATTAGTTGTACTTGAGCAAAGGGTAATGAGACACAGTCTATACTTGTCTTCTTTAGGCACAAGCCATAAGTCAATGTGTTTATTTCTCCTCTGCAGCATTTTTGATAAAATTCTAGGATGTCATAAGTTAATATAGAAACCCTCAGGATGGACTTCTATTTTTTAGATCTAGGGTTCCTCCTTTATAACATGTCCTAGGTTTATAATAATGTGATTTGTGTTTTTATGTCTTTCCAAATTCTTTCATGTGATCATGCTAATAGTTAATGTATTGATGGACTGCATTTTCTTGGGTTATTCTATTTCAGAATGTCGTGTTATTGTAGATGAAGATGCAGATCACATGGCATTGGTTAGCAGGTAAACTGCATTGACATGCAAACTCATTCAAATGCTTATATAATATCGATTCTCTTTAATTGGCATGGAATAAGGATATATACTGGTACAAGTAGCATGTATGGTTTATGAATCTTTTCAAATTGATCCTTTGCCCTAGGATAGTTGATATTTGGTATAACTTGTACTTTTACATATGCTTTTATGCTTCTACAATTTTTCCTATGTGACTCCGCTTTAAAGTCGATACAACCAAATCTGGTTAATGGATTCCAAGACTACTTTGTTGAATGTTCCTCCAGTGTACATGCATGTGTAGAGGGATGAAGCTAATGATAATATATGTTTGTTGACCAACAAGTGTGTTCTCGTGCAGGATGGTGATATTCAATGTTTCTACCCATTAGAACCATTATTTCATATCTCTTCCTAGCTTAATTGTACTTAGAAAGTCATCAATTACCGTACAGTCATAATTGTAGCTCCTTCGTGCCTGCCATTCTTTAGGAAATAATTGATAGAGGTCTGCCAGTCTTCATCTGTTGCTAGTTTTTGGGGCAAATGCCTCTCCAGCTCCTATAAGTGCTATCATCCTTGTCAATTATGAATGCCTGGATTTCAAAGTAAACTTAGCAGAACTTGGCTTGTAATCTGCTTGTCAGATGCTATTACCAAAGTGTCCAAATCATCTACTTTGGGGTTTTTTGTACTGGAGTAATAATTGATTTTCATGGCTTCAAGCTCTAAAATTGGTTTGTCTGATCACCTTAGGGAGGGCTTTGGATTGATTATATCGATTTGCTGTTGAAGATCAAGATTGGGATTCTGAGATTAGTTCTTTCTACTTTTTACGGTATGAAATGAAGTGGAGTTGTTATTTGGAGTTTTCAATCAAAGTTTTAGATTGGGATTCTATCTTTTTTGAGGTTAGTAATGTCTGAGATTTGAAGACTAGAAAGAAAATTGAATTGGGCATCATCCAAAATGTCACAAGTCAAAAATTTCCTTGCTTCTACTTCCTTATGTGTGCAGTGCAGAGGGTTTAAAAGCTGTATAACAGGTTAACATTTCAGATTCGAGACTTCAAGCAATTGACTTCTTTAGTTTGTACGAATCCAATTGTTGCCTGGTTCATTTATGCTGATCTAATTACCTGTACTCGATCTTTCCTGTCAAACTGAGGTTCCGTAGTTTGGGGAGACTACTAACTGAAAGGTGTGGATGTCCTTGGTTATGTTGCCCCAGTTGGCAAGTATCTTAGGTTTTTTATTCTCATTTTTTATTTTATTTTATTTGATGGGTGTATTAGTAACATAAATTGCATATTGGTCAAAAGTCGACTAAGTTGGCCTAGATTTAATATTGCTGTCATTCCATGATTGCAGAGCAGAAAGTTTAATGATGACAATGAAGAACAGCTCTTTTGATCTTCACTTTTAAAGGTCAAGGTAAGGATGATTATATTAATGTTCTCAATTCTCGACTTTGGTTTGCGTTTGGTTGAAGCTTGTTTTTGACAACCTTACACAGGTGCTAGCAGCAGATATCAGTGATTCGATTGATTTTGTGGAGAACCTCGGTAGCTTATGCTTTTAATGGACCTGAGAATATTCTGAGGTAAAGTTGAAGGCAAGTCCTTGATATCCTTCTCTGGTTTGCTAATACATCACAGCATCACCGGAAGTTCTGAGAGCATTACTTGAAAATTCTTGCCGTATTTGGTGGTGTTAACACTCCTTTGTAAGTCCGAGCAATTTTGGGCTTACCTGGTTTCGACCGGGGTTGGGCGTACTCTTAACTTAAACTGTTACAGTGTTACCTCACCTGATACATTGTGCCGGATTTGGCTGATAGTCTGACCCAATATAAGAATTAGAGAGTCTTGTACACATTTTAGTGAACGTCATAAAAAACGCAAATGATTTTGGGCCAGTGGCTAATTGGGCTTAGTTAGTGGAAAGTACCTTTTGGGCTTTGGACACGAATTGTTTGTTGATTGGGCCAGTTCTACGGATAGATTTACCAAACTTAAAACGAACACAAATTTATCCATGAACTGAACTATTCTATAGTCTATTGATTTTTCTTGTCCAAAGGAATCATTGAAGGGTTACCATTTCAATCCTTTCACTCTCTCAGTCTCTCCCATTGAAGTTGTCATTAATTACCATGACAAATTCTATGGTCTCCGAGACCGAGAGTTGTAATCAGGTTAGTAAAAATCTCGCGTTTGCTTTGTGGGAATGTGTAATAATCAAATAAAAGCCCTGATCTCTATTAATTTATACCGGGATGAAAAATAAGAATAACTTGTATTAAGGGCCTGTTCTCATATGTTTGTTTCAGTTCAGTTCCTAATTTCCTTCTCTTATAAAATATTCATTTCACTTCAGTCCTTCAGTTCAGTTCAGGTCAATTCAGTTAAGTTCAGCTGAGTTCGGTCAATGAGAATTTGCCCTAAGTTAAGCTTTAGCGCTAACAAGGTAAAATCAAGACTTATCAAGTTTGATACATACGAGTATAAGGGGTTGTTTTCTTACGTTGAAATTCAATTCAATTCAGCTCAATTCAGTTCAGTTCAGTTCAGTTCAACTCCTAATTTCTTTCTCTTATAAAATATTCATTTCAGTTCAGCTCAGTTAAGTTTAGTTCAATTCAACTGAGTTCAATCAATGAGAACAGACCCTTAACTTCAGGTAAAAAGAACACACCTTAACTTTACCGCGCGAGGTAAAACCGAGTGGGGTAAAGGTAAAAAGCTAGAGGTTGATAGTACATGAAGTGGGCGTGGGGCAGTGATGATGGCATAAGAGGAAGAATCTGAAATCTTTTTTCGTCTCTTTGGTGTCTCTCATCGCATCGCAATCTAATTGATCGCATCTGATCAGACCACGGTGGTATTGAGTGGTGTGCTTACTCACGTGTTTAGGTGAAATGGGGTCCACTTGAATAGTTAAACTTTGGTAATAATGAATAATAATTTAACAGTAAAAGCGACACTACATTTCTACAAATCTGAATATACTGTAAAAGGTTTTTTGTTAAAAGTCTTTTCCCTTTTACACGCCAAATCCCCATGATTTTCTTTTCAACTCTCTTCATCTCACCTTTACACTAGGTCTAACACTAATTGTGCTTAGTAAATTGTACTAATACTAATACCTACTAACTTAGTCAAACCACCTAATTTTTGACCTATTATTAGGTTATTCAAGGAAATATATATTTTTTTAAAAAAAATTCTTTATATTTTTTAATTTAAGAATTTCTTCTAAATCTCATATAGGTTAGATTGATTCGGGACCTTGTATAGGTTAAAATGACTCAAAGCCTTGTAAGAGTAGAGGGGGAGGTTAGATCGATTTGAGACCTACTATAGGTTAAAATGACTCGAACTTTCATGTAAAGCCTTGGAGTAGAGGGAGGAGGGAGGGAGAGAGAGGGCCAGGGGGGGAAGAAAGGTAAAAAAATCTTCACACCTAAGTGTGTATAGTATATTAGTTATTCAGTCATACAGACAATACAAAAGCATATAGATGTATAGCAAGGTGAGTAAAATTAGATGTTTAAAGGATGTAAACGACTAATATAGTTGATTTGGCTTGCATCAAGCTTTTAATTGGTAAAGCTTTTTCTTGAGATTATTTTATTTTTATTATTTTTGGGTGTGTGTATTGATTAAAGAAAACTACTAAGGAGTGTTTGATAAAAAAAAAAAAGCAATTTTATTATAGATTTTGAGTATCTTTACTAAAGTTTACGAAGTAATCAATTAATTAAGAGTTTGCTCTTATCCAATTACACGATATGGGTCAACTTGACCCGAGATCCAAACCTAGATGGGCCGGATTCTATTGGCCCCATCAAAAAAAAAGAGTGATATTGTAAATAACAATGCATGTAAATTGGAAAAGATGTCGAGTCAGTGGCGGACCCAGGAATTTCCGACTGGTGAGTCACAATTGATAACCAAATATGTAAAAAGAAAAAATTTACCAAAATTCCCAAGAAAAATTATTTACAAAGATCATCCAAATAGAAAATTGACAAGATTACAGTACTAACTAATAATTAACAAGCTTAAAATTGACAAGACTAAAATTAACAAACTAATAATTAACAAGCTAATAATTGACAACATGACAAGCTTAGCTCTCTAATAATTAACAAACTAATAATTGACAAGATTAAAATTTGTACAAGCATTAGGTTCACATTTCATCAAAAACCCAACAACATTAACAAAAGGTTCAAAGTTAGTATTTTTTTTTTTTTTTTAAAAAAACTTAGAAAATAATTTTTTTTTTTTTTTTTTAAAAAAAACTTAAAAAATATTTTGGGCCCTGGTGAGTCATTTGACCCACCAGGCATAAGGCCAAGTCCGCCAATGTGTCGAGTATTATAAGCTAATTATGTGTGATCTCAATTTCTTGATTTGATGCCCAAGTTGAAAGGAAAATGTCAAACACTAACCTTTATTTTATTTTTTATGGGTTCTGAGGATGGCTATTCTATTACGGTGCCTCTTTTTCTATCTATAGTTTCTGTCCCGACATTTCCTGTCTTTATTTGCATGTTGATGTTGCATTTTATTTTTTACAAATTAAATCATCAAAATTATTATGACTTATATGCATATCTATGAATTGTATTTTCATCTCATTTTCTTGTATAAAGTTTTTGTTGCACGTTATTAAGTTTAGTATTATAAATAGAAATCCATTTATTATAAGTTATTTGCATATCTATGAATTGTATTTTTCATCTTATTTTCTTCTATCAAGTTTTTGTTGCACATTATTATGTTTAGTGTTATAAATAGAAATCCATCTATTCATCTTACTATTTCTATATCATGACCTTAATCAAAAGGACTAACAATAATAGCCTTATGAAGGGTTAAAGGGCTTATCTTCATACTTCATAACTCATAAGGCTCGACTTTTGACTAAATTATCATAAATGCCTCTAATCATGCTAGAAAGTACAAATACCCTTACAATTACTCCGTAAAAAATTAACACTGTAAGTCTGTAACTCTAATTATATTTTTGTTGATACTCAAACTTGTTTCTCTACTTTCTAACTTTTATAATTCATTTTCTTTAAAGTTGAGTTTAGGCATCATAAAGATATTTTAATGTACTGTAGAAGACGAGATTTTATCCTACATCTTGAGTATCATTCCTTAAGACTTTAAACAATTAAATCATCACAACTCTCAGAAGTCAGAACAATATGTGTCTAGTAAGAGTCGTATTCACTTCCACATACCACACCCTCAAACATGTTACGCCGCATGAAAGGATTTACATGCTTGGACTAATTTCCCTATTACCCTCACACAAACTTCACTTGAAAACAAATTATCATTATTGAAAGGTAAGATATGCAAGCATATATATCCACTTTGTCAAAGAAATGGAGTAGATTCTTGTACTAGATTTTTAAAAAACCTTATTTACAATTACTAAACATAGACATAAAAATAAACCCTGACTTTAAGTTGCAGAACAATTGTATATATGTAGGAATAAGGTGAAAATTTGTACTATACAAGTTAATAAATTTGTCACTATATGTGGTATTCCTTGTTCATATAGACTGAGCATTAACTGTCTGAGCAAGAAATACATTAAATTCGTCCCACCCAAATTCATAAGTAGCCAAAATTTTGTCCAAAATTGCAATGATTTCAAGTGTGAACTTTCTCATATATATATATAAGTTGAGGAAATTTGTGCAAGTGATGATGCTATTGGCCCTTTCATGGCATGGTAACGAATCCTTTTCTTAGTAATGAAATTGAAACTTGGTAGGACTTCAATGGCTTTGTGTATGAGTGTATTTTGTTTTTAGAGATTATAAGTCAAAAAAGAGAAGTTTTGCAAGGACATGAATTGCATTATTTGAATAAATTGAAACTCCAAAACAAAAGAGATTTATTGTATCAGGGACCCTATTAAGGAAGTTTGATGTGCATCAAGGAGGAGGTGGAGGGGGGGGGGTTTTAAAAACCGCCTATTAGAATTGTTAAAACGGATACAAGTTAGGTTCAGTTTAAAGACCTGTACTGTTCTTTTCGGCTTATTTCAGTTTAAACGGATACCTATTAAAATTGTTAAAACAGATGCAAGTTAGAATTATTATAACGGATAGAAGTTAGGAGTGCTTTTCTGTTCCGTAATTTATTTTTATCCGTAATGGTCAGTAATTTGTAGGAAGGGAATAAAGAGTAAAAATAACAGAGGAAGAAACAAAGATGTCATAAAATGGGGACATACAATGGAATAGTATGAGAAGACGAGACAACAGAATAGAGGGAGCCAAACACAATAGGTACGGTAGTCGACGTCCACATTTAGCTCGCTATTTCAATATTTTAATTTTGATTATTTCTTCCATTCTTGAATAGTACTCCGTACTTCGTACATTAATACCATGTTCACTTCACTCTACAAAAATTTTAATTTTTACTTCATGAACAACAATTAAGTTTAGCAAAACAAAGATCTATTTAGTTATAAACTTATAAGTAATATCAAATAGCAAAATGCAATAGTTAATCAGTGCATTAATAATATTTTCATAAAAATAATTTAAGTACAGTAGATGTTAGATGAATAGAGCATGGTCTACTCTATTATGGTTACCATTTTTCGCCTCTCAATAGACAATTTTGTCCAATATCTTTAATTTACAATAGTAAAAATTACGCTATAAAATAGTGAAATTTTAAAAGTAAAGTATACAATTATACACGACGTATTAAACTTTTTTTTTTAAAATAAATTAAATGGTTATATTTCTCAATGCATTATGAATATAAATTTGGCTAATAGATCAAATATTCGGAAACGGATGAAAGTTGTATT